ATTGAAAATAATATTTAACTTTAATTAGATAATATTTTTATAAAACATTGTCAGTAAATATGAGTTTTTAGTGAGTAAGTAATAAAAAAATTAAGTAATTACAAAAACTTGTTTCCTTGCTTAATATTAATTTTAAATATTATTTTTTAGCACTGAAATGTCTTTTTGTTGATATTTATTCAAAGTGTTTCTCTATCTCTCTGTCCAAAATGCAAAACATTTTCGGCTTGCATGTCAAAGAAGTATTGAAACGGCAACAAGAAAATGTTTTATAATTGATGCACGGCAATAACCAGGGCGACAGCAACAACAGCAACGAAAGCAACACGAGTTGCGTTGCATTTGTTGCCATAGGGAAAGTCAGTCAAGTGGGGGAGAGGCCCCCAGTGCCAATTCAACCCAGAATATTTCTGCTTTATGTCTCGTAAACAAAACTCCACAAGCGGGAATCACACAGAGAAATCGAGGGCGTTGCCTGGCAGTTCTCCCCAGTCACTTTTGGGGGCGTGGCCAGTAGTCAGTAGCCAGGAGAACCAGAAGAACATGACACAAACATGCAATTAAAGTCGAATATATTTTTATACAAATAAATACGCACACACACTACTGGTATTTCCTTTCATTTTATCTTTTTATATCTATCTGAAAGCATTCAGCCACTGAAATACGGAGATCCTCCAGGTGTCTCCTGGTTGCCCCAGGTGCATGCACATGGACGGACGCCTCTGAAGTGTGACTGGATGGTCAGACAACCGGATGAATATATGCATTTCGGATACATGAGCAAAACAAAAAAATCCGGTATCCAAGAAAACCAAAAGGATACGATTGCGTAGAGCGGATAAAAGAGCAAAAAATACGGTGATTCGTATTTAAAATTCAAGTTTGAGGAAGCCTTCGAGCTACACAAAGTCTACACAAAGTAAGAAACATTTTTGTGAGGAAAAATGGAAAAAAGAAAGATAAGAAAACTTATGAAATACAAATTTAAGAATGGAGAAAATGACAAATATATTAGTCGGTAATATAGGAACATATCTATAAGAACCAATTCATTAACAATGCAAATTCTTTAAATATATGTTAAATTTTTCTAGAAAGAAAGTTTTTAGGAGAAAATGATTTTTTTTTGAGAAAACTTAAAGTTGTTTAAAAGTTAGATAACATTTCTTTTGAAATATTTTTTAATTTTAAGTAGAGAAATCCGACTTCCCCTAATAAAAATATGTGCGTGCTTTTCCTGGAATTGTCACACGGCCTTTATCGTTCGCTATGAAACAAAACACGAATGGCATAATGTATGTGGCGCACATGTCGGATACGTAATGAAGCTCGAAGGCTTCTCTGTGCGCCTCATGTGTCTCCAGGCAGCAGGTGCAGTTCGAAATGTTAACGCCAAGTGCCATCAAATTAAACATTTTCACAAACACACGGATATAGACACCCACACCCTCACACAAAGCAGCTCACACAGATGCGGAGCCACAGAAGCGCCCTCAAAAGTATGCAGAGTGTTTTGCTTGCGGAAATAAACGAGGGAAAATAAGAAGGAAAGGAAAATTGTTGCTCCAGCTGTCAGTGCAGCAAAGTCTGCATTGAAAATCCATTTATAGTCGTTGCATTATGTTATTTTCAGTCATTTACCAGGCGTCCGTCTCTTGTCACTGCAAACGAACTGAAACGAACATTGCTTCGAGCCGAGGCAACCTGCTAAAATGCATGTCAGTCCGCCGGAAGTCGCGTCTTTCTAGATACGGGCTCAATGACACTCTCTTTCTTCCACTCCCCCTCTTCTTCAGCTGTCTCCTTCTTCGTATACGTAAAAGGGATGGGGTTGGGGCATCCCCATCCCTTCAAAGCAACAATATTTGCAGTCAAGTCGAGTTGATTTGCCGTGTGTGTGGCCAAGAATGGGGTCTCTATAATTAACTTGCCATTTATTTTGGCCTCAATCCGTCGACTGAGTGACCGAAATACAAGCCAAATACACAAGAAAGTTCACCTAGCAATATTAATTTTTAGTACCCAATAAATCCAGTTTAAGTCAAACTTTTAGAAACTAAACTAAAACCAAATTTAATTTAATACCAATGATTTTATTTAGGATTATGTCATCACAAGCTGAAAGGATGAGCAGACTTTATCCTTGAGTCTCTTTTAATGTTGGCGGGAAAACTTTCCCAACTTTGAAAACAAATTTATCATGGTTTAAAGTTAATGGGCATTACTCTCAACAGTCCAAACTTCAGTGGTTCAGTGTAGAGTAATTAATTGAAACTCTAAAGGGCATATTGTTCTCAACTTTTGTATGACCTTTACGGTATTTTTGATTAATAGTACAAAAGTCTTGTCACGGAATACATTAGTAACTTATTTACAGTACCACAGTATTTAAACAAGAAATTGTATTTTAAGAGACGAATTGATATCCAAAACCATTAAAACCGAGAGCACTGATTCAGTGATTGAGGTTAACACAAATGGATTCGGAATGGGCACTAAAAGAAAAACTAATCACACTCAACGGTCAGGTCACTTCCTCTACTCAAAACGATTCTCTTTTTCCAGCAACCCATCCATCTGACACCTCAGCCACGCCCACATCCCCCTGCCCACCTGCCGCCGGTTAAAAATGGACTCTTCCTGCTGTCAGTTTCAATAACACGAACCGCCGACTGTCCGTTTGAAAGGAGGGGAGGGGGAGGAACCACCTGGAACCCGGAGTGTCTTGTGCGTAGTCGTTATGGCTGTCTATCCATATAGCGTATACCTATCACTGCTTTTTAGCCCCGATAGCAGCTGTCCGACTGACAACTGAGAAGGATGAGAGCACATGAGCTCAATCCAATCCAATTCAATCCCGCTTCTGACGCATTTCCATTACTCCACTCCTCTGTTTTTCCGTTCTTGTTTTCCTGACTTGTGCCGCTTTAATTATTCAGCTTGGGCATATTTAATGGGCCCAAAGACAGTCGTCAAAATCAAGTTTAGAACCCCTGACAATTGCCATCGACAGTCGGCATTTGAATTTAAATCGAATGAAAACATTTGCGTAACAATTTGGCAACATGCTGCAGTTGTGTCCTCGTCCTTTTTCCCTCTTTTCTTTTTTTTTTGGCTGCGGGATGACGCCAGATACACGGCTACACGGATTCAGATACAGATACAGCCGAAGCTTCAGCTGCAGATACAATACGTAATCACCAGTGTTGGGAAAGGTACTGTGTTTTTTTACCTAGGTAAGGTAAAAGGTATTGGGCAAAAATAAATACCTAGGTAAGGTAAAGGTACTTAAATTTCCCAGTACCTAGGTAAAGGTAAATGGTATTTATAAGGTATTTTTTATTTTTTATAATTTTTTTTGTTTTGTTCAATGTAATCATTTAAACTTAAAATAAGACTAGTTTTCAGTATTTAGTCGTCTTAATCAAACAATATCTTTTCATTTCATTTAAATTTAAATTTAATTTAAATGTTTTAATTTTGTGCATATATTTTTAAAACACGCGGCATGAATAATTGTATGCACGTATCACTTCATTAATGTATTTATGAAACCCTCATGTACATATTTGGCGCGCAAAAATTCCGTATGTAGAAACATTGACTATATATTGTGCATATGTATATGCCGTTTGTTTACTTACATACGGCATTTTTGCGCGCCAAATACACTTTGGTTTCATAAATAAATTTATGTAGTGATGGAAACATACATACGTGCACAAAATTATATAAAATAAAACTGCGATTAGTTTTAACTTCACAAAACAAACAATAGAACGGCTGAATTCCAATGACTTTTAATGCTGCGTTCCGACTATTACAATTTCGAAACGAAACGATACAATGAAACGATACTACAGTGTCGCAGTCAGATTTGGCTATTTTAAATCAGATCAATGTTTAATACCTATGTAAGTACCTTAATAATTCCAAAGGTATATACAAATCTGTATCTAGGTAAGGTAAAAGGTACTCAATTATTTTTATACCTAGGTAAGGTAAAAGGTACCACTAAATTGTACCTAGGTACGTACCTAGGTACAAGTATCTAGGTATGTCCCAACACTGGTAATCACCCGACGCCTTCGCTTACACATTTTCCAAAATGAAAATCAATACCAGCCAAAGGGGGTGGGAAAACTCTGGGGAAAGGCCACCCGAACTTCAACTCTTCAGCACATGCTGTTGCATATTTTATCAATTCAGCTGCAAAGTCATTCAAAGGATGCCAAAGGATGTTTAGTTTGGGGCGAAAAACAGCTCGATGCAGTTAGGGACTAACGATGGGAACTACAAAGCGCTCGATGGAAATAGAAAATGCAAGGCATGTCGTTTAGGTATTAACATAAGAAAAGGCTTGTATAGAAACCAATAATTCGGTTTAGTATGGAACCACTTTAATAAAACAAAATAAATATCAATTCTTAGGATTTCCTTATTTGTATGCCTTAAAATAATATCAAGAGTTAGGAACTTAGGTAAGTATTTGAATGTAATATAAAAGAGGGAAAACCTATTGGTATTTATCCAATTAATTTAGATGATTTAATTCATTTCGATTACTAACTAATTAAACAAAATAAATAGTACATAAATCAAACAATAATATCCTTGCTACTTTATAGCGAAAATTCCCATCTTTTCTTTTACCTCTCCACACCAGACTCTTAATAAATCAAATATGCAATCCACAAGCTCAAACAAAGGAATAATATCAAGAGTTAGAAACTTAGGTAAGTATTTGAAAATATTATAAAAAGAAGGGAAAAGTTGGAAATAGAAAATTATCTAATTAATTTAGTTTGATTAAATTTGTTATGGAACTTATTAAATAACTAATTTAACTAAATAAATCAAAAAGTTTTCTTCATTGAAGTAAAACTAATATCTTGGCTACTTTATAGCGAAAATTCCAATGGAACTTATTTAATAAGCGAAATAAGGAGTAAATAAATCAAACAGTTTTCTTCATAGAGGCTAAACTAATATCCTGGCTACTTTTTAGCGAAAATTCCAATCTTTTCTATTACCTCTCCACACCAGACTCTTAATAAATCAAATATGCAATCCACAAGCTCAAACAAAGGAGCCCCCCGACCAGAAGCGGTAATTAAGTTTGGGCCATGAAACCGCATCGCATCAAAGGCAATTTCCTTTCTGGCCCTGACAGCCAATCCTCCACCCACTCCTCCCCCTGCTTAATTGATTTCAGTTATGACTTTCGATGCTTATTTGCGGATTAATTGATTTCCGGATGCGAGGACTACTACTTGCTAGGGATAAGACTAACCTAGGGACTAAACAGAAACCATCGAGGACTCTCTTCTTTTCTATGTGCTGCTCGAATTGGAGCTGAGGCTCTGCAGCGAGCTATTCGAGGCGGTCTTCCTCAGCGTTTCCCCCGCTAGGCTGCACAGATTCTGGACGAGCAGCGCCGAGGAGTTTCCGTTTCCGTTGCGGTTAAGCAGCGGCGAGGACGTGGCTTTGGCCGGATTGGAGTTCGATTGGTGGTGGTGGAGATGCCTCAGGGGCTGCGGCGACGTCGGATTCGAGAGTCCGGACTCGTGGATGGGCGAGAGAGTGGGCGATCGCGTCCGCAGGAAGTGCTTCCTCCGCTGCCGCCGATAGACATTCCCCAGACTGGGCAGCGTTCGGCTGTTGGTCTGCGGACTCTGGTGATGGCTGGCAAAGCCCAGGGTCTCGGCCAGCTCCGCCAGCTCCTGGGAGGTCTGGTTCATCTTCCTCCGCGTCGGCGGCGGCAGGGCGGGCGGCAAGGTCAGCGTGTAGGTGGTCACGCTGTCGTCCCTTATCACGGACGTGGGCAAGAGCATCAGCTCGGGACTCGTTGTGCTGGTGCTCAGCTCGCTGCTCTCCAGGGAACTCCTGCTCGTCGGCGAACTGGCGGGCGGTGTGGGCGTGGCCGTGGAGTTGGCATATCCCCGCCCAGCCGCCTGCAGCTGCAGCGGTCGAATCTGATTCTGCTTGATGGCCGAGCCGCCGTGATTCTGGTGCTCCTTTCCCGCGATTCCATGATGCGTGGCTCCATGGCGACACCGGGGTCTTCGATAGCGTCCCAGCAAGCGCAGCATGTGACGCAGCCGCGAGCTTCTGGGCGGCGTGGGAGTTGCAGTGGCTCCTTTTAAAGGCAACTCCTGATCCAAACCCCCGTTCAAGGTGCGTATGAACTGGATGGGCAGCTCCTGGGCATTCAGTTTGGCCGCCGCCGCCGCCTCCTCGCGTTCGCGGAACGTCAGGGCCGCCAGGAGATCGTTGGGCACATCGGGACTATCCGGCACCGAGGCGCAGCAGTTCCATTTCCTTCGCCAGCGCTGATGCTTCGAGATATTCCCGGCTGCCGTGGCCGAGGACGAGGATCCGCCGGTTTGGCTGGTCAGAGTGCGAGTGCTGCTGCTTCCGCCGGCGCTGCTCACCGCTCCCGAGGAGCCCGCCGCCGCCGCTCCCGATCCCCTGCGCAGCCGGAAGGTGCAGAGGGTGCACTGCTCGGTGTACTGCAGATAGGTGGCCGGCCGCTGGGGACGCGGCTCCGCCGAGATCAGCGATCCCTTGGCCAGGCTGACCCGGCGCTGCAGGGAGCTGGCCGCGAAGCTGGAGCAGCAGTGGAAGCTGCTCAGCGTGTCCGTCTCCACTTGGATCTGCGGCACATTCTCCTCCAGCAGGGAGCACACGTAGACGGCCTGCCTGCTCTGGTGGAACTCCCTGGAGCTGGCGCAGCAGTGGAGCCGCAGGGACTGCTCCGTTTGACCAACCTGCACCGCCTCCTGCGACTGCAGCTGGCTGGGATGCGGGGCACTGGAGCAGCAGTAGAGCTGCTGACCCCCGGGCAGCGACTTGGACGGATTGTGTGGCTCGGGCAGCGAGCTGGAGAAGTGTACTCCCCCGTTTTTGGGAGCTCCCTCCAGGAGCTGCTTGGTCTTGGCCTCCTGCGCCTGCCGATGGTTCCTGATGTACTCGTACGTGGTCAGTCCCAGAAACGAGATGTAGATGTGGAAGAAGCACAGGTGCAGAAGCAGTCCTGCACTCACGGCGGCCAGTAATCCTAATAACCCAAGCAGGAACAGGAAAATGGTTTCGTTCAGTGTAATCCCAGAAACCACGGGCTGTGTGACTGTGTGATTGCTTACACTAATCCCCGCCTGCGCGGTGGTGGCCTCTATCAGGGCCGTAAAGTTCTCCAGCAGGCTGGGCAGCGTGGAGATGGTCATGTTGGCCAGCTCCTCCGCGGGCTCCTCCTGCTCCTGCTGCTCTATCAGCATCATGGTGCCGTTGTGGCCCAGACTCAAGGTGATGTTTATGTAGTCGCCGCCCTCCAGGGGGTGACTCAGCTCCAGAGGACACCAGTAGAAGCTCAGCCAGTCCGGCTGGACGTAGTAGAAGACCACCTGGGCCACCACGGCGGCCACGATGACCAGGGTGGCCACCACCGCGCTGACCACGCACATCAGGAAGGCCACATAGTTGCGCGACCCGATGCAGTGGTTCAGCCACTTGCAGTGGTGGTCGAACTTGCCCACGCACTTGTTGCACACGGAGCAGTGCTTGGTGCGGCTGGAGGAGGTGCGGATGTTGCACAGGTGGCACCGCCCGTTCTCGATCACGTGGCTGTGCTTCGTCCGGTCGAACTCGGGCACGATCCTGTCGTTGCGATGCACCCGCCGCAGTTCCTTGTCCGCCGGATCCGTTAATAGTGCCGTCAGATGGGAGGCTATGTGCACCAGGTAGAGACCGGTGATCAGGCCGTAGAGCGGTCCCTGGATGCGGGCATGAAAGGCCGGGATGAGCACCCAGTAGCTGGCCACGCCGAACAGGAGGAGCACCAGCCAGCCGAAGAGCTGGAGGGGATGCAGTGGCAGCTGCAGTCCGTGGAGGCGTCTCCCCTTGCGATGCTGCACATCGGCGATGTTGTTCTGGTAGCTCACCAGCTGGGAGAGCCGGCACAAGCGGTGGTTACTCCTTGGTCTCTCTTGGTCACTGGAAACTATCGGTTCCAGTGGAACTGGGACTACCAAGGACTGGACAGGAGCGACTCCCTTGATGGGTTCCTCGTTGCTCGGTTCCGTCAGGCTGGCAGTGCTGATGGTTATGATGTGATCCGTCTCCGCCCTGACTCCTCCTATTCCGTTGGCTCCTTTGGCTCCCGGTTTTGGCCCAGTTAGTCCAACTATCGTGGACATGGTGTATTTGGGTCTGGAGAAGATGCCTCCTCGGTTGATGAAAATGATAATGATGATGATGTGTGAGTGATGAAGGGTCCTGCTTGACAGCTGTACATTACACTCGATGCTTAGCCACGCCCTCGACGGATGATGCAATCCAGCGGTGCTTCTAAAAGGGCTTCATATAATTCCCAAGCGATTTTTCAGCATGTTTTGAATGGTCGCTTTGGGACTACGGAAAATTACTGACTGCAGTTTTAATGAGTTCGTTTATACTGTTTAATTTTAAACTTAGCTTTTTCTATTACTTTAGCTTTCAATATGGTTACTAAGAATGTATAAAATATCCTTGGAAAATTTATTTGTTTTTATTATTTTATCTCATTTGCTTTGGTGTTTAACTGTTTTCATTATTTTATCTCGAGAGTCCAATTTCCTTTTATTTTTCAATGTCCTTTTTTATGCTTTTTTTTATGTCCTTCACTTCGTCTGGCTTTTATTATTACAGCCTTTTATTGGCTTTCTCTTTTGCAGTCGTCAACTTTTATTTTTATCCAACTTTTTACCAACTTCTTTTTCACTTTTGTTTTTGGTTTTTTTTTTAATGATTTTGTTGTTGACTTTGTGCTCTTTCTCTCTCTGTCTCTCTCTGGCACACACACACAATTTAATTGTTTTGCCTTTGCTATTTTCTATTTGTTGTTGCGAATTGTGAATGGCGCAGTTAACGGTTCATACGTGAATTTATTTTGTTTTTCCACTTTTATTCTCAAGTCCTTGTTGTGGTTGTTGTTGTTGCTGCTACTGCGAGGGGGTGGTTACACTGGCAGCGGGCGCAGAAAAGCGGGATGGTCGCCACCCCCTTTTTTGCGGAATTCCTGCTCTATGATTTTCCTTTTCGTTTTGCTATTTGTTTGACTCCCACACACACACAAAGAGACTGGCGAGCACACACAAAGGCACATACACACACGCAGAAAGACACAAGGCACAGGCGTCCCGAGTTAAAATAACAGTAAATCAGGCGATGGCGTTCGCGTTTACCGTTACTGGAGCGCTTCAAAAACGCACAACCGACTCCTTCAACCGACGCGACCAAACGAACCAACTCCACGCAGAGTAACCAACTTGGAAGCTCCCGACTTTCGATTGAGTCAAACAGTGCTGCAACACTCAGAAAAATAACACCTTTCATTTGAAGATAAAAATCCATTTGCTGCGTTTTAAAAACTATTTAACAAGCTAGATATTAGTTAAATTGTACTTTTCTTTTTAAACTTTAAGCTGCCAGTCTCAAAAGTATTATAAAAATCCCCGATTATTTTTCTCAGTGCAGTATATGTTCGACAAGGTTTGACGTCCCTCCCAAACAGTTGGTAAACACAAGCTTACAGTTAAAAAAAAAAAACATTTGTAATTAACAAATTTGAATTTTAATTTTGAAGTCATAAAACAATTTTTATGATCGTATCTTATTTAAAATTTTAATAATATATATTTACAAAAGTTTAATCATTTCACTGATTTAATAAAAATGTATGGCATTATTTGTAATTTATTTTATTTCTTTCAATAAACAGAAACCATGTGTACTAGTGTTCCAAACTCAAGTTCCCTCTCACGGTTCGAAGTCGCTCTCAAACGACAGGTGAGAAAGAGAGTGCCAAAGAAAGCCTCTCCCGTTGAACGTGAATGGATAAGTTGCTTCAGCTGATTGAAGGGTGAAAGCTTCACAGTTGAAAGCCTCCGCTTGTCAATTCAATTTTTAGTGGTAACAAATCAGATGAGAGTGAAAGAGAGAGTTAAGGACAGCTGTGTGCGGTTTTGCCGGTACCGTTAGTCAGATGAGCAGAATAAGAGGGGTTTACGTCAGAGACTTACGAAGGGGGCCTTTGAAAATTAAATAATTTTTATGATAAAATTCATAGGATTTTAGCAAAACGTTACATTACATTTTCTAAAAACATGCGTACGCCACTGACGAAAATAGAGGGGGTGTTGCGCCCCCACCAACAAAAACCTTGAATGTTTTTCGGCTGGCAATTTTGGGGGTGGCTCACCATGGGAATTATGTGTGTTCGTGATCGCTTAAGATGTGAATTTACCTTAAAGTACCCCGTGTTTTCCAATCGTTATATTTTTAGGTATATTCCGAAAGAAGAAAACTTTTTGAATTGAAGTAAACTAACTATAGTTAGCTATAAACAAATTTCAAATTATCAGAGAAAATAGGTTTTTCTAAAGCCGTATTTTATACATTTAATTCCCATGATTATAGTAGAAGCCCAAAAATGTATGCTAGTTCTTTGATCCCAAAGGATTATTGGCTTGTTAGCCGAATGGCTCACGTTGCCATCCCTTGGGACTCATATTGAAGCAGGAAGTAACTATTATATAACGTTAAATGGGACAGGAGAGCACGGAAGGCCGATGGAGATTGGCACGCACCTTTGGTTTTTCCTCTTTTTTTTTGGGATACCAGCATCATTTTTTATTTATGCCATCGACACAGAGGTAAAAAGGGTCGGGAGGGAAAAAGGGACGCCGTAGGTGTTAGATGAAATGGAAAGCACACTCGAGAGAATATTTGGAGCACGTGCTGCAGCAAGTACATTTTCAGCACTTGATGTGATTTTATTTACATGGAAGATACACGATAGTGGGCTCAGAGTGGGTGGGTATTTTCCGAGGAAAACCCAGTGCAGACATGCCGTCGCCTGACCGAATGATTGGTAAATATTTATGCTCGAGATGTCCGTAATCTAGAGTCGTCCGAAGACGGAAAACGAGGTCAGCGCCGGAGAAAGCGGGCGGAACATAAGCCCCAGACGGAGACAGCGAAAGATGGAGACGGATAGTCAGCGGAGGATTTATGTAAGCCCCAGACAAACTGCCGGGAATCCGCTGGAGCACGACTAATGATGCGGGCTACGATCCCGATTTGGCCTCGTAAAATCGAAACGCAAATTACCAAAACAAACACCAAAATTATGCGTTTGGGCTTGTTTATTTTGCATACGATAAGTAGATAAAATTGGGAGAAACGCTTGATGGTTGACATTAGACAGTGGGATTCGGTTTAGTTAAAATATTTTGGCAGTACAACGAGTATTGTTTGCCTTGTAATAAATCATTTTTCCCAAATTTAGAATTGATTAAAGAAAGTACGAGATAATTTTATAAAAAAAATTAATGTATAAAAATAAAATAAACTCTATTTTCACCAAACAAAGTCTTACAAAAGTCGCATTTTGTAAACAACTCAATGCCAAATTTTATTCAATTTTGCTGGCAAATTTATTGAGTTCTCTTGAGTTTCCGGTTCAGTGTTATTGCCTGCCTCTTGGCAACGATAACGAAACAGGACCAAAACACCCCCACCTACCTTCACCACCACCTCCACCCAACACAAGGATACACCGGTAACAAGAAAAGCTTTGATAAGCAGACCTAAGCACTTCCATTGAACTATAAAAAAAAGGAAAAACCATTAAGAAAGATGGTAACCAATTTTAAGAGCTTTCTTTTAAAGCTTTGAAAAAAGGAAGCAAATGAGATAAGCAAAAGTAGGCAGTTTGTTTACAGTTTAAAATTCGAAACGCAGTTGAAATTGGTTTTCGAGAAACGCTCAGAGAATAAATGTTAGTTGTACACACGAATAATTTAGGTTAGAGTAAATTATTAGCGACAAGATGATTGATATTTTGTCGCTGCCGCGCCGGAACAAGGTGTCCGGGAATCCGGCCCTGCTGAAGATGATCTCCTTCAAGACCGGACTGCCCATAAACAGTCTGCCCGGCTGGGAGCTGATCCCCCTCAACTGCAAACTGCCCATGCTCAAGTGTCCCGACAACCAGGTCATTTTCTCAAAGAACAAGATCGGTCAGGATGTAAGTATTAACTTAATTTTCACCTATAACTTACTATGTGCCTTATGCGCAGAAAAAAGCTTGATAATATTATCAGTTTGACTTGATTCCTATAAAATATTCCCCTTCTAAAGAATTCGCGGTCTTATTTATTTGAAGAATTCGCGGTATTCATGTATACATTAAAACAAAAATAATTTGTAATGTCACATGAACATTTTGTAAGATCAAACAAAGATATAAGAGTGCAATATCAACTTAATATTGATCTTATTTTGATGTTATTATCAGTTTGACTTGATTCCTATAAAATATTCCTGTCCTAAAGAATTCGCGGTTTCATTTCTTTGAAGAATTAACATTTAAGGATACAATATCAAGTTAATATTGATCTTATTTTGTTTTACTTTTCAATTCAGTTCAAGAGCAGGATATTATTATCAGTTTGACTTGATTCCTATAAAATATTCCTCTTCTAAAGAATTCGCGTTCTCATTTCTTTGAAGAATTCAATATCAAGTTGATCTTATTTGGTTTTACTTTTCAATTCAGTTTAAGAGCGGAAAGCAGGAGTTCGAATGCTCTGTTACCGAGCACATACCCGAGTACAATCCGCTGCACGACTCCAATCTGAAGACCTTCTACTCCAACGAGCGCAATCTGAAGCGTTTGCGGGAGAACGGTGAGATAACGCAGGACAACGATGTGATCTGCAACCTGAAGGACTTCAACCAGCACCGCCAGGAGCTGCACAAGTCGCAGCTGTACTACATTCTGCAGGCCTACAAGCGGCGCGAGTCGGAGCAGTACGATCGCATGCTGATCGCCAACGCGGAGTCGATCACGAAGAAGGACCACCAGAATCTGGCCGCCCGGCACCAGTGCACCGAGGAGGTTCTGGCCAGGAAGCAGCTGCAGGAGCAGGAGCGCCACGAGCGGAAGGTCCACCTGCTGAACATCACGTACGAGAAGTTCAAGCGCCTGGAGAACCTGGCCTCCATGCAGAACATGCTACTGGAGCACCGCAAGATGCTCACAAATATGCGGGTGGCTGCGCACATTGGTATGTGCCAGGATCTGATGAGGAAGCTGCTGATCAAGCAGAAGAAGCTCTTCCAGTTCAAGAAGGATCGGTTCAACAAGAACATGCGCATCCTGCGGAAGCAGCGGCTGGTCAAGGACACCGAGCAGCAGATTCAGTCGTGGCGAAAGCGGCTGGACGAGCGGATAGCCAACCAGCGCAGGGTCAACTACCTGCTGCAGGAGGTGGAGAAGGAGCGCGAGGCGTTCATAGAGCGGCACAAGGCGGTGTACAGGGAGAAGTGGCAGCGGATTCAGGACGAGATCAAGGAGCGGGCTCACAAGGCAGTCGTGGCCCGCCAGCCGAAGCGAAAGCGTCGCAAGAAGAAGAAGTCGCAGCTGGAGGAGCGAAAGCCGTCCTTCTGCGACGAGTACCAGGCCACTTTCGAGGGTTTGCTGGACAGCGAGCTCTGCTACGCTTTAAATGCAGCCATTGCCATGGAGGGTCAGACCGCTCTGACCTTCGCCCCAGATGATCCCATCTACAAGGCGGCCCAATACATTCTGGACTACATTATTTCGGGTCTAAACGATGATCTCAGCGAGGACGAGTGCGCCATGCAGGTGCTGGTCTCGCGCATCAAGGACTTTGTCTGCGATGCCAAGAAATATGTGCACTACGTAAGTGGTTGACTCTATTTGATATCATTTTGATATGAATAAAGATTATGTTGATCTTTTTTCATATTATTTGCTCAAAAAATACTAAATTTGGTATTTTTGATATGATAAAATATCATGTTGATATGTTTGAATCTTAAATTTGACATGAATCATATCGGCTTTTTATTGATAAGAAATAGGGTAGAAATAACCCTAATTCATATCGGGGTTTTTTTCTGTGCAGTGTTCCATTGATCAACTTATCTCCCGTCTTATCTCTTTAGCTGGCAGAAAGGATATCAATTTGATATCATTTTGATATGAATCTTTTTTTATATTATTTGCTCGACAAATACTAAATTTCGTATTTTTCATGATATGATTAAATATCATGTTGATTTGTTTGAATCTTAAATTTGACATGAATCATATCGGCTTGTTATTGATATGAAATAAGGTAGAAATAACCCTTCTTCATAACGGTTTTTTTTCTGTGTAGTGTTCCATTGACCAACATATCCTAATTTTCTCTTTCTCTACCAGAAAGCCTACCAGATCATCGGCTTCGCCCGGGACCACAAGGCCATGGAGGTGCCGCCGTCGGTGGCCAAGCCGGCCAAGAACCACTCGCGCGCCTCCCACGTCTCCTTCAGCGGCGTGGCCAGCACCATTGGCGTGGGCAGCTACGAGATCCATCCGTTCGTGGACATCCGGCCGTGTGGCGAGCGACGCGCCACGCCGGCGGGCTCGCTGGCCTCGCTGGTGGTCAGCCAGATTGGGGAGCAGGTGATCCAGGACAAGGTGCGCCTGCCGCACCTGAACCGCAACCAGATCGTGTTCATCGAGCACTACCTGGTGAAGTTCAAGCGGGATCTGCTGGTGGGCCTGGACAAGCTGGTCTTCGCGGCCATCCAGTGCCACTTCGAGAACCGCATGATGGAGGTGCGCGAGGAGCTGCTGCTGCTGGACAGGAGCTACCTCTTCGAGCAGATTGCCCAGGGCATCCTCAGCTACGCGGTGAATCCCCTGAACTACCAGTCGGTGCTGAAGCTGGCCGTGAGCGTGCTGTCCTGCGAGATCATCTGGGAGCTGCAGCAGACGCTGCTCAAGCCGGGCATCGTTCCCCGCGGGCCGAACCACCCCGCCTCCTGCGGCACCGAGCGGGAACGCGAAGCCATGGCGTTGTGCTCGCCCTGAGGAGGATATTTCCTATCTCTTGCGGGGAATAAGTCGTTTAAATTGCATGTGGAAGCAGGGTTTTCAGACACTTACTTCAGATTCCCAGGAATATGTCCCAAATTTATGTGCCATGTTTAAATTCGATTTCGTTGTGGTTAGAAAATGCCTTGTTTGTTGGTCAATAAAGTGATTTAATTCTAAAATTCTAAGCAAACACCTGTTTATCTAGCAATTATGTTACGAACCTCAAGTAAGAAACACTATGTTTTGGTGAATTCTTATGGGAAACTATATAGATTCAAGGGGTAATAGTTAGAGCAAACACTCACCGTAGCAACGGATTATATCTATCAATCAATTTTCACTTATTTTCATCAGTTTTTCTTTAAATTTCACTAGTAAACACCAATAAATTGTATTTTTGTACAAAAGCGTGGAAGCAACAGCTGGCAAAACAACCAGGGGTGCGCAGGCCGATAGATTCCGATAGCCAGGGCGGCACAAACCTATTCCGTTATCGATTTATATTTATTTAAAATTAACAAATTTTATTCTAAAAAAAAAAATAAACTAAATAAACTTGACTTAATTTAATTCATATTAAACATTTTGTAAAAGTACTTTCTTGAGAGAACATTTTGCAAAATTTCTTCATTGTATTGTTTTTTAACTTTTGGAGTTAAAAATTTTGTATAATTCGACCCAGTTTTTAATTATTGCAGTAGGGTGTTCCAAAATTACAAATTTAAAGTGGCTTACCCGTAAAAATAGTTCTCAAGAAATGTATGCGCTTTAATTTGACAAATTAAAAAAAAAAATTTTTAATACAAAAATAAAAAATCAAATCGCTTTGCTTTTTTATGTTTTATACAATTTGTTAGCACACTAACTACATGTCAACAAATGCTTGTATCATCTTCTAAAACTAACTTAGGTGGTAACTATTTAGGAAAACTGAAAGGCGCCCCATAGGGATACATCATGGAGTTGTAAGGGGCGCCCGGAGCGCCCAGAAGGGAGAACGGAAACACTGGAGCAGGTAGACTAGCTGCGGCAGCCTTAGAGCCGCGTTTCCGCTTCTGTTTGGCCACAGGTGCTGGTGGCGGCTCGTCGCTGGACTCGGACTCCTCGCTCTCGCTGCTGGCCTCGCTGGCATCATCATCATCCTCATCGTCGTCCTCCTCGTCCTCGTCTTGATCCCTCGGTTCCACCTTCATCCGCTTCTGTGGCGTCTTTTTGGCAAGCTTCTTCACCGCCTTTTTGTCCTTCTTGTCCTTTTTGACCTTAGCTGGAACTGCAGGTGGCACTGCAGCTGGGGCTGCAACTGTGCCAGCAGGAAAGGCAAATCGCTGGTCGGCATGAAAGACGGTCATCTGCTGCATGACAAACTCCATGAACGACTGTATGGCAATGTTCAGGTTGGGCGGATTCGGGCAGTTCTTGAGGCCATGATACCGTCCGGAGCAATTCCGGCAGATCATCTGGCACTGGAAGGAAGTGTGGCCCTGAAATAATAACTAATTAATAAATATCTATAGAAATCACAGAACATTTATACCTTCTTATCGCAGATGCCGCACACATCGACGGTTTTACTCTTGTTCTTTCCCTTTGCTGCCTTTTTGTCGGTCTCCTCCTCCGGCTCACTGCTCTCCTCCTCCTCCTCCTCGTCGGTGATGGTGAACTGGCGCTCCTGAGTGCCCATGCAGATCACCTCCTCCTCGGTCTCCTTTTCCTTGGCCGCCTTTTTACTCTTCGCCGACGACCGACTGGGTTCCTCCTCTGAATCCGAGTCGGATGATGAGGATTCCGAGGACGGAACGGGCTTCGCAACCTTCGCTTTTGGTGTGGATGCCACAGCCACCTTGCTGGCCTTTGTTTTACCCGAGGATGCAGGCTTAGTGCTGCCCAACATTTCACCTGGTTCGGGTTCGGATTCCTCCTCCGAACTGCTCGACGAACTGGACGAGCTTTCCTTCTTCTTTGTCGGAGATTTGGGTTCCGGCTTGACCACCGGCTTTCTTTGTGGCTTGGGCTTCAGCGACTCGACCTCCTTCTTGATGTTGATCAGCGACACGGTGGTGGGTTCTTCTGGTGGAGGAGGCACCTCAGGTGCAGGAGCAATTGCAGGTGCAGGTGCAGGTTCCGGTTCCGATGGTTCAGTAAAGGAGACAGGTGGCAGGCTCTCCTGCCTGTGGGACGAGGGCGCAGGTGAGGGAGCAGGAAGAGGTGGATCATCGGTGAAATCCCCCACATTATCGTAGTACAGCATGTTGCTTTGGCCTGGGCTAACTGGATGCTGCTTGGGATGCCATGAGTTGTTGCGGCCACCACGCTTATTGGAATCCCTGCCGCGGTTTCCCCTTTTGCCCCTTCCTCCGCCACCACCTCCTCCTCCGTCTCCTCCTCCTCCTCCGCCACCACCTCGTCCTCCTCCTCCTCCTCCTCCTCCCCCTCTTCTTCTGCCACTCCTCCTGCCTTGCTGCTGCTGCTGATTATTCGGCGGCTGTTGGGGATCCTTGAACTTGTTGAAACCGTTTCCATGCTGGCCACCTGCTCCTCCTCTGTCCGACCAACTGCCATTGGACTGGGGATTCTGGCCGTGGTTTCCTCCTCCTCCGCCGCCGCCACCGCTGCGCCGCTGGCTGTTGTTATAGCCATCGGCGAAGAAGTGGTGTCGATCCCCAGAATTGTTCCAGCCGGAATGTCCTCCGCCGTTCTGCATCCTGGAATTTGTATTTACTCGTATTTATCAAAACGAACCGCTAGCCGCGGCGCACGTGTTGAGCCGATTGGCTGTTATCGATAAAAAGCGATAGGCAGTAGCGCAGCCGGGCTGGCTTCTTTCAAGCTAAAGCTGTTTGATATCTATATAGCCAGTTTAAATTTAATTGTAGTTGTAAAACCATTATATTGAAGCACTAAATATAAAATTATTATTTATTTAAATTATAATTTAAAAAGGAAATCATTAAAAAGCTCTAAAAAATACAAGATCGCTTTTAGCTTTTTCCCGCTGGTTTCGATAAGTTAGCCACGCTAAAGATCTGCCACCTCTAAAGCCGTGTGGAGCACAATAAATTCGGGGAAAACTCGAAATGGAAAGTAAAAGAGATATAAAACATAAGAACAGGGTGCATTTCCGCACCCAATCGTGGGGCAAGACAAAGTTCAAGCCCAAGAAATATGTCAAGCCCTTTGTGCCGCCCGTGCCCGAGAGCAGCGCCAAGCCGTGGCAGCATGTGAAGAACGACATCATCGATGACTCCGAGGAACGGGGACACCAAAATGTAGACACCGAGGATGCCAGGAAGTTCATGCAGCAGAGGGAGCAGAACCACCGGCGAAACATCATAGAGGCCAACCGATCGGAGGCCACCAAGTGGGAGTCCTTCGAGGAGGCGGAGGAGAAGCCAGCCCCAAGAGAACTTCCCACGGACGTTGAGAACTTCACTGCCAAGGATCGCAACTTCTACCGAAGGCAGCTTACTAAAGGCATAAGTCTAACTGGTAAAAAGGGTAACCTTCGATCCTGCATCACAGACTTGAAAAGGAACCCCAAGCAAATGCTCAATATTGATGGCCAAGCAAAGGGAAGCAATCCCTTCCAGAAATTGAGAGACAATGATAAAGGTAGAGTGCAGAAAAAGGGAAAGAAAGCGAACAATCCATTTAACAAGAAACGCAATGAATAATTTACATAGAATAAACGTGGCTGCACCCGAAACTTGTTATTAAACAATACTAAAATAAATACTTTTTATAAAAATTATAAGCCTAGCCCTTTTAAATTAATAGACAGCTCCTCGGGTGACAAATCAGAAATGTATACACAACATTACTACACACTTTATGCAAATCTTAAAAGTAGTGGTACAAATACATGTGGAATAGGTCGGCGAAAATAAATAAACTAAAAAGAATGGGGCTCCTCCAGCGGCGGGAGGAGCAAGAGGAGATTGAAGCGGCGCCCGCTGCGCGATGGTTCCAGCCAGCTAGCTAAATCCGGATGGGATCCTCAGCCATTGGCGTTGGCCAGCTTGGCGATTAGCTGATTAAACTTGCCATTGGTGGTGACCGACTTCTTGGCCGATCGCACTTGTTCCGGCGAGTGCTGCAGAAAGTAAACGACGATAAATTCGAGTGTTTGATTGGCTTCCTTGGGGTACATCATGTTGAAGGTATAGTAGTAGCAGATCAGCTGCGCCAGAATGTCCGGCAGGTCGTCGTCCTTGGCCGCGAACGTGGCCATTATCTGGCCCTCGATGTAGACCTTGGCCTCCAGTTGCGATTCCACGCCATCGGCCGTTGTTATGGGCGAATCTGTAGGAATATGCCGATTATTATTTGGAAAATCATTCGTTTAGTTCAATACACTTACTGACTAGAGCCACCCAGGGGGCGTTTGTGGGATTCGTGCTCTGGAGCGCCTCCTTGCCGAGGGAACCGCTCTCCAGGTGCTTGAAGATGTAGTCGGGATCCTCGTTGAAGTGATACGCTATGCCACGCAGCAAGTTGGCGTTGCTCTCCTCCAGGGCGCTGATCTTCTTGTTCTTCGAGCTCTTGAAGAACCTAAAAAAGCGCTCCTTTTCGCCGGTCAGGCGTTTCTCCAGGGCCCGCGGATCGATGGACATGAGCAGCTCGAAGTGCTGGTACAGCACAGCCTTGTCAAAAATATACGGCCAATTGTCCTTGATGGCCGTGATGTCCGGGATCTTTTCGCTGTTGTTGAAGAACGAGCGCTGCAGCGGAAAGCACTCCTTCATATATTCGATAATGGTCGCCTGTTCCAGGGGGGAACTGCCGCGGTAGCTGGAGATGAGTAGCTCCTTCTTCTGCTCCAGATCTCTGTTGAGAGCCAGTGCTTTGGCATCGCCATTGGAGGCACCACCTCCGAATTTTCTTTTCTTACTTGAGATGTGAATCTCGAAGGTGCCCGAGCTGCTGCCGCGCTTTTGCGGCTTGTTGAGCGCGTTGTTCCGGTTGATCATCTTGGAGATGAGCGACTGCGGCGTGGTGGCTATGAACTGACCCTCGCGGTCCTTCTCGAGCAGCGAGTCCGGGTACTTTTCAGCCGCCTGCTGGGCCACCTGGCGGAAAACGCGAATGGGGATGTGGGCCGATATCTCGCGGAGGGCCTCCACCAGCACGTTGGCCAGGGTGTTCAGGCGCTTGCCCAAACTGCCCTTTCCCTTGAGCAGCTTCATTATGTCGCCGGGCACCTTGCTCCACGGTATCGAGAACTCCTTGAACAGGGCCGAATTCTTTGCACTCGAGGGTGTTACGCTGGACAGCGACAGGGTCTCGTCGTTGGAGACCGTCGAGTCGTTTGGATTGGACACAATACTGTTGTTGGCATAGAAGCTGGGATCCACCGAGCTGCCGGCGCGTTCGGAGCGATTGAGCGGCGAGGGAGGCGGCAGAACCACATATTCCTCCGACTCGGCGAGCAGCATGAGCAGAATCTTCTCCTTGGCGGCGAACAGAAGCACGTCGTCCTCGCAGATCTCGCAGCCGTTGCTCTCCAGGACAATTGTGCTGCCACACAGGCCGTATTTGTGGGCTAAACGAGGAGTTGGAAAAATTGATTAATATTTATTAAATTTTAAATTTAATTTGTAAGAAAATAAATTGGATTTTCTAAATTTTAAACGATATAAAACTATATTTTAGCACATAATTTATTGTTAGTTTAGGTTTTGTCAGGCAAAAAAATTAATAATTTAATTAATGAGTTCTAAAACAACCAGAAATACAATTTAGGAATCATGATAGCTACTATCTAATGATTCCAACTGGGCAAATTTGGTTATATTTCTAATCTTTAAAAATATATTAATTAATAAAAGTTCTAAATAATTTAATTAATGATTTCTAAAATAACCAGAAACGCAATTTAGAAAACATAAAATTTACTATCTAATGAAATCCAACTGGGCAATTTCAATTATATTTCTAAATTCAATGTATCAACTGTTTAAACTCCTTTAAAAATATATAAATTAATTGAAGTTCTGAATAATTTAATTATTGATTTCTAAAACAACCAGAAATGCAACATAGGAAACATAAAATTTACTATCTAATGAATTCCAACTGGGCAAATCTGATTATATTTTTAACTGAGTAAAAATAGTAATTTAATGAATGATTTCTAAAACAACCAGAAATGCAATTAAATTTACTATCTAATGAATTACAACTGGGTAACTTTGATGGTTTCTCTAAATACAATGTATCAACTGTCTAAACCCCTTTAAAAATATTTTATTCAATTAAAGTCCTGCCCAATTCCTTACCCTTATCGATCACATCCTTTCGCGTGGGCAAGGACATGAAGGTCTTCTTGATCTTGCGATCGGCGCTGCATATGGTAATCAATACTTTGTCAGCCAGCTCGGTCTTCGGCTTGCCCTCGTCCCTTTCGTCCTTCTGGCCCGTCGTCCCAGTGGAATGTGTGGGTTCTGCGGGGCCAACAAATAATAATAATTGTAAATAAACCACTTAAGTTGCACAAACAATCGCGCAATCCCCGTTTTCCACTCACCGCAACTCTCTGGCTTTTTCGCTCCTCCTGTTTGTACACCATTTTCGATTGTTGTTGCCTTTGCGTTTGCGGCCGGCGCTTGGTGCGGATGACTTGGACTGGGGCTGATCGGCGTCTGCTGGGCCTTCTGGTCGCCGCCGGAACTGACGGGCGGTGCGGGGGCAACGTCCATGGCTTCTAGTTGCGTTTTTGTGCGAATCCAACCACGTCCCAAGCCCTGTTTTCCGTGTTTTTGGACCGTGAAATAATATTGCAGAATAGGGATGTAAAAAATACATCGATGCTTGCGGTACTATCGCGATGGTATCGATACCGCGCGTTCTAGAGTGACCGTTGGGGGAGCGTTGTGGAAATGCCATCGTAAGCGGCCTTGCCATATCGTTGGAAAAATGTAGCTGATACTTGTATTTTAATTTTATAACAAGTGAGGAATAAAGTAAATACTTTGCAGTTAATTAGTTAATTATAAGCTATTCCTCACTTGTTTATTCAAGAAGTTTGACACTGTTTTGTTGTAACCTTATATCGATATATATCGATAGCTCGCTGGTATGTTTAAACAACCGCCGAACGGTCGCACATTTGTTGCATTTGTCCAGCGATTTGATTCGAGTCGCGTTTATTTTCGTTTTTCTCCTTGGTTCCGTGTTTTTTCTCCGCTTTAAATACACTGCCAGTCAAGGACACTCGAATCCCATTCAGAAAACTCCACCGAAGCCGCCGCCACGATGCATTGAAGAGCCTCCAAAGAAGGAGCGGGCACCCAGCCCATTAAGATTCTACTTAATGTTTTTTATTATCCAAGGCAATATTTTAACTTTCCGCGCACGACGAACATTATGTGAGTAATTCCCCCCGGCACAAATAGAGCTATTCAAAGTGACATGGCTATTTTTAACCCCCAGGAATTTCCTGGAAGCCGCAATCTTCTGCCTGTGGGTGGTCGCCGAGGCATCCGCCAGTTTGGCCAAATTCGGCAGCACGACGCCAGCGAGTGCGACGCAGTCGGATGTGGAACTGGAGCCCATCAACGGGACCCTCAACTACCGGCTGTACGCCAAGAAGGGCGGCAAGGACGACAAGCCCTGGTTCGACGGCCTGGACAGCAGGCACATCCAGTGCGTCCGGCGCGCCCGCTGCTACGCCACCACGAACGCCACCAACAGCTGCTTCGGCTCCCGGCTGCCCTACGAGCTGAGCAGCCTGGATCTCACCGACTTCCACAACGACAAGGAGCTCAACGAGAAGCTGAACGACTATTACGCGCTCAAGCATGTGCCCAAGTGCTGGGCGGCCATACAGGTGGGGAATCTAAATGGCATCTAATGAATGAGTCTGTATGAGCAATCTTTTCCGATAATGAGGTTCATTAGCAAACTAAATTGATAGTGATTCGTTTGATTGCAATAGGGGAATTTAATGAACCGATGCATTTTCCTGTTCCCTAAATAGAAAGACAAACCTCCGTATTAGAGCCTTCATGAATGGATTCAATTAATTTTGTTGAATTTTTTGTTTTATATGAATGAATTAATTAGAATTTTTAGTTTAATAGAATTGAATGAATTAAATAGAATTTTGAGTTTAATAGAATTGAATGAATTTGATTTTTGAGTTTAATAGAATTGCATGAATGAATGGCATGAATTCCGAAATAATTCAAACGACAATTTCTTTTAATCTGCCCTAATGTTATTTACTATACAGTTAACATTGATTTGTTAAAAATTTTGTCACATTTTGTTTAAAAAAAAACACTAACAAATCTGGCAGATTCAAAAATCATAAAAATTATTTATTCATTTAATTCGAAATGAATTAGAAAAACATTCCATTTATTTCACATAGAATTAAACAAATCAGAAATTTCATGGCGTACTATTATAAAACAAAAATTGAATACGGATTCCGTATTCACATTCTTTGACCCCTAATTTCTCCTTTTAATCCTCCATTTACAGCCCTTTTTGTGCGCCGTCTTCAAGCCCAAGTGCGAGAAAATCAACGGGCAGGACATGGTCTACCTGCCCTCGTTCGAAATGTGCCGCATTACCCTGGAACCCTGTCGCATTTTGTACAACACGACGTTTTTCCCGAAATTCCTGCGCTGCAACGAAACGCTCTTTCCCGCGAAATGCACAAACGCAGCGCGAGGCATGAAATTCAACGGAACTGGGCAGTGTTTGAGTCCTCTGGTGGCGACGGAGACCTCGGCCAGCTATTATCCCGGCATCGAAGGCTGCGGCGTGAGGTGCAAGGATCCGCTGTACACGGATGATGAGCACAGGCAGATCCACAAGCTGATCGGCTGGGCGGGCAGCTTGTGCCTCCTTTCGAATCTCTTTGTGGTGGCCACTTTCTTCATCGACTGGAAGAATGCCAACAAGTATCCGGCTGTTATTGTGTTCTACATAAATCTGTGCTTCCTAATTGCTTGCGTGGGGTGGGTTTTAATCCAGATTTTTAAATAATTTCATTAATAACCGGAGTGTATCTTACAGATGGCTGCTGCAATTCACTTCGGGATCGCGGGAGGACATCGTGTGCCGCAAGGATGGCACTCTGCGCCACTCAGAGCCCACGGCGGGCGAGAATCTCTCCTGCATCGTGATCTTCGTTCTGGTCTACTACTTCCTCACCGCCGGAATGGTGTGGTTCGTGTTCCTCACCTACGCCTGGCACTGGCGGGCCATGGGCCACGTGCAGGATCGCATCGACAAGAAGGGTTCCTACTTCCACCTGGTGGCCTGGTCGCTGCCCCTGGTCCTCACCATCACCACGATGGCGTTCAGCGAGGTGGATGGCAATAGCATTGTGGGCATCTGCTTCGTGGGCTACATCAATCACTCGATGAGGGCGGGATTACTTCTTGGGCCGCTCTGCGGTGTGATCCTCATCGGTGGCTACTTCATCACGCGCGGCATGGTGATGCTCTTCGGACTGAAGCACTTTGCCAACGACATAAAGTCCACTTCTGCGAGCAACAAGATCCATTTGATCATCATGCGCATGGGAATCTGCGCTTTGCTCACCCTAGTTTTCATCTTGGTGGCCATTGCCTGTCACGTTACCGAGTTCAGGCATGCAGAGGAATGGGCCCAGAGCTTCAGACAGTTTATAATGTGAGTGAGCAGCTCTACTTCACTGTTTCTTATGCTAATCTTTATATTTCCTTCATGCAGCTGTAAAATTTCCTCTGTTTTCGAAGAGAAGAGCTCGTGTCGCATCGAAAATCGTCCCAGCGTTGGCGTTCTGCAGCTGCATTTGCTGTGTCTCTTTAGCTCCGGCATCGTCATGTCCACCTGGTGCTGGACACCATCCTCCATTGAGACTTGGAAGCGGTATATAAGAAAGTACGTTGCACTGCAATCAGCAGAGGGAATATTTCAACTAATCATCTCGTTTACCTTTACAGAAAGTGCGGAAAGGAGGTGGTCGAGGAGGTGAAGATGCCCAAGCACAAGGTCATCGCCCAGACGTGGGCCAAGCGCAAGGACTTCGAGGACAAGGGCAGGCTGTCCATCACGCTGTACAACACCCACACCGATCCCGTGGGCCTCAACTTCGATGTGAACGATCTGAACTCCTCGGAGACCAACGACATCTCCTCAACGTGGGCGGCCTACCTTCCGCAGTGCGTAAAACGGCGCATGGCCTTGACGGGAGCGGCGGCCACAGGTAACTCCTCGAGCCATGGACCGCGAAAGAACTCCCTGGATTCCGAGATCAGCGTGAGTGTTCGTCATGTTTCGGTTGAATCGCGTAGGAATTCGGTGGATTCGCAGGTGTCGGTGAAAATAGCCGAAATGAAGACCAAAGTGGCATCCAGATCGAGGCGGAAACATGTTGGCTCCTCCGGCAGCAAGAGAACTCACCGGGCGAGGGATTACACGGCATCCGCCACTGGAAGGAGCAGCCGGCGAAGGGAGAGCAGCACTTCGGTGGAGTCGCAGGTGATTGCGATGAAGAAAACCACCTATCCCAATGCTAGTCACAAAGTGGGCGTGTTTGCCCAGCACAGCTCCAAGAAGCAGCACAACTATACCAGCTCGATGAAGCGAAGGACGGCGAATGCCGGCTTGGATCCCAACATCCTCAAACAATTCCTGCACAACAACGGCGATTTTATGTTCCCGTTCCTCCAAAATCATGACATGACTTCTAGTTCAGAGGACCACTCGCAGGCTTCGCTAAAGATACAGGATCTCAATATGGTTGTGAAGCAGGAGGAGTTCAGCGAGGACGATCACGATGGAATCCAGATTGAAGAGTTACCAAATAACAAACAGGTGGCGAATTTCCTCAAGAACATGAAGAAATCTAACGAATCCAATGGCAATCGTCACTCGCGCAACTCCACAAGAAGTCGTCAGTCGAGGAAATCGCGCAAGAGCCATCCAAAGACCACAGGACTAGAGTTGCAGGATTTCAAGAGGGACTATGCGAGGAATCGGTCACTTAGCTGCTCCTCCGAGGAACTCGACGTGGCCTTGGACGTGGGCAGCCTGCTGAACAGCTCCTATTCCGGCATGTCCATGGGCAAACCGCAGAGCAGAAACAGCAAAACCAGCTGCGATGTGGGCATTCAGGCCAATCCTTTCGAGCTGGTTCCCAGCTACGGAGACGAGGAGCTGCAGCAAGCCATGCGACTCCTGAATGCGGCCAGCAGGCAGAGGAATGAGGCAGCTAATGAAGATGGCGGAGGCACCGAGCTTCAGGCGTTGTTAGGCCACGCTAGGCATCACAGGGAGCCCTCGTTTATGAGCGAGTCGGACAAACTCAAAATGTTGTTGCTGCCCTCAAAATAGCAAGACTAAATGATCAATTATTGCATTTACTTAAGTTTCTAAAACACTTTTCAGAGGTTCTTAAAGCCTGTTTTGGTTTTACATGCAAGATTTTAAGCTTATCAAATGTTTAAAATCAATTTATAGGTCCTAAATCTATTTTTTTAGCATTTCAGTGTCTAATTCAATTTGCTAGCTTGCTAAATTTTAATGTTAACAGCTTAGCGAATAATATTTTAACTATTTTTGATGCGTAAAAATTACTGTTGGCGTTCACCATTCTTTTCAATCCATTTAAACATTTTTTTAGACCGTTCAAATTTGTTTTTTCAATTTTAAAAATAACTACTGAAACTTGATACTTTCGAATCAATTTTTTATTAGTTCACAAGAATCAGAAAGTGATATTTTATACAAAAATATATGGAATTTTTAAGTAACCGAAGTAGAACAAAAATCCGAGGCAGGTTAAATGTACGTTTTTTATGCAGTTTACATTGCGATGACCCCAGAGTTTCTACTTAATTGTTTTATTGAGCAGTATAGGCGAAACTACAACTACGAATTACGAATACTCATAGACATTAAGCAGCGAACGATATTATACAAATCCATCTTCCCATTTAGCCCGTAAGCATTTCGAATCTCCGTGTACGTTTGTGAATGACTGTTTCCTTAATCCTGCTACTCACGCCAATGGAAATGTCAATGACCCTATTTTCCGATCATTTTCCCTTGCCGTGGGTAATGGGCTTTAAACTAGACTCCTAGATTATACATTTAAGTACGATATTAAAAAGCCTCTCGCGGCAAACAAATCGTACCTCGAAAAGTGCCTATAAGTTTACAAAATATCTCATACTTTTGTGTAACTAATAAATCGATTTTAAATCCTCGACTTCTAACCCTGTTTGATTTTCTGCTGCTTCAGCAGCTTGAACTCCGGAGCCCAGACAATGCTGTTGGCGAACTCCCCGAGCAGATAGCAAACCAGATTGAAGCCCACCAGCAGGGCCAGAAACAGGTAGCGCAGGTACAAGGGCAGCACCTCCAGAATGGGATACACCCACTCGCCGCTGAAGTAGCGAACGATGTGCAGCCAGATGATGTAGAGCAGGATGAAGGAGACGTTGCCCGTGATGCCGGCCAGTCGACTGGGGTAGCGGCGGAAGCAGGTAAACAGGTCCATGATGGCCAGAAGGGCCACATTCGTGTGCACGACGTGGTTCAGCCAGCTGAAAAAGGTGAGAAATGAAGGTAAGTTACAAGTGTATAACAATAGTTGGATGTTTAAACTTTGAACCGGATCTACAAACAAAAGAAGATTTACAGTGACGGAAAATGTACCATGGTTAAATAGGGTTTTCTTAAATTAGGGAAAAAACATTAAATATCTCGGAAATGATAAAAAGGAACAAAAATGTTATTTCGGGAAAATTAAGTTGGTTATTAGATCTTGGACAATCTTGGATAGATAAGAAGACTTCCAAAACCGCGATAGGAAATTTAAAATAATTAAAATTCATACTTTTTGGCCAAAAAAAATTTAAGAAAATATTTTTCTAATTCCCCTAGTACACATTTAAAAACGTGTAAAGTTGCACGTTGTTCCTCTAATCCGTTCTCGAGATATACTAACTTGAAGTTTGAGAACATTTTTTAAGTTCTTAACTTCAAAAATTCATAGCGCCCCTAATTGGACACCAAAAAATTAAAAAAAAATCACAGATGATAACCAAGGCAAACTCTACGAGGTACCCGAGTTTGAAAAAAATCTAGTATTTCATTTGCGCAGTTCAGAAATTCTTACCAAGATACAATTTTCCATAATAGATTTATACGAACAATTTAATAATTTTCATTTAATTAAAATGTAATATTAATTTATCTGTATAGTTTCAGGGGTTCCCCCACTGCCACGTATTCCGCGCCACTCACCTGGGGAAAATCGCATCCAGCGCCGAGGGAAAGATGAGCTCACGGTCCCAGATGTAAATGACCCAGAACGAGAGGCACACGTTGTGGGCGACGGGGAAGGCGAAGGCCGCGAACACATAGTCCCTCGCCGATCTCAGCCTGGACTTTGACTCCCCGGAGACCTTGTTGTCGCCGAAGAGATCGTTCAGCAGGGCCAGCGAGTGGTAGATGGCCTGCAGAATGACGTCCAGGAAGGTGAGGTACTTGAACTTGCCGCCCCAGCGGGCCTTCAGCTCGTCCTCGTCCAGCAAATCCGTGGGCCAGTGCACCCGGAAGTAGTGGTAGTACATCCCGTAGGAGAACTGAGCCGCCGCCAGGAGATGGACCAGGAATCTCAGGTACTTGAAGGCCCCGCTCGTGTAGGCGTCGTTGCAGGTGTCCAGCCGGGCGTTGGTGGCCTCCACGGCCTCCTTGGCGGCATTGAACTCGCGCACCTGCTTCTTGCTCTTGCCCATTTCAGTTTTAGCCGGATAATAGGCCGGAAAAGCCAACGCACGCAGAGCAAATCAAAACAAATGAAAGCTAGCGAACAGCTGATTGGGGCGCTCTGCACGACGAACTCAGTGCGAGCTTAATAGCTATTTTCAAGCTAAATAAAGCTTTTTTAAAGCAAAAATAAATAAATAATTCATTAAAAATTATGGATTTGATTTAAAGAATTTCTTCATTAAAAAAACAGTACATATTCTTTTATAAAATAAAGAATAGGTATTTTCAAACTAAAAATCAGTGTATTAGATAAACAAATTTACATGTTGTATGCTTTTTGAACCAAATTAACCGTTTCCGGTAAATTTTATAAAAGTTGGCAGTCTTGTCGAACTTTTTGAATATTTAAAAACAAAATCCCAGTTTTTTTCACCATTTAAAAGCAATTCTCGCAGTAAATAAAGTGTTGAATCGGTTTATTACGATACTAGAATTGAATTACAGGTTGTAACACTGGTTTTCAAAGATGGTGTTGTTTTGGAGTGCCTTGATATGAGGTTGTTGCAATCGAGAAGGCGATTTCACTTAGCTGATCTAATAAAAACCTAAGAAGACGCGCGCGCTCTCAATATAAACTACGGCTATAATCTCAATTACAATGCGATTCGTAATAAGAAAGAATGAATATCATTAGCAAACGGTTTTCTCTATTACGATTAAAGACTTTCACAATTTATTAAGGATGTCAAATACATTATCGAGTTCATCAGGCAAGCTCAAGTTTATTCATTTTCACATATTTTGTGCGACTTCTTCAGTCTTCTTTACAATATCAATATCTTTGGCTGAGAAGATCGTACAATACAGACAAAATAAATAATCCCAAGACAGGCCTGAGTCGTCGTCAATCATTATTTGTATTTTGTGGCTAATTAAACGCGACTACATGGAACAGAAACGGGACACAGCCTACTCCTAGTTGGATTTGCGCTTGGCCAGCTTCACCTCCTTGGCCCAGACGGTGTTGTTGAGGAACTCGCCCAGCAGATAAAGCGACAGCGTGAATCCCACGACGGCCGCGAAGAACAGGATGCGCTGCGGCAGTTGCAGGACCTCCAGGACGGGATAGACCCAGACGCCGGAGTAGTGCTTCACCACGTGAATCCAGACCAGATAGGCGCCCATGAAGATGGCCAGTCCGGCGAGTCCCTGGCTGCGTTTCGGGTACGAGCGGTACGAGATGAACATCTCCAGGACGATGAAGACCACGATGTTGGTGTGCAGGACATGGTTCAGCCAGCTGTAAGAAGGTAGAGGTATGTAATATGTCTTAGGAAATATATAATGGAAATTAAGGCTTCTCAGTCGTTTTTTTAAGCTATCCCAACAAAGAATCTTTCTATCTTTTAGATATATTTATAACTATTAAGCTTATTATAAATTTTCATTCGGAATTCCCATCACGTGCCTTGTCATAACAAGCTACGTACGTGAATATAAAATGTAATTGTACTTGAGTGAAAGTCAAAACATTTACATTTTAGTGCTATTACGAAAAAGAAGATAATAGGGTCTTGAGGTTAATATTTAAAAGGTTCATTGCCGACCTAGGAAGTTTATAATTTTCTAAGTGCTACTTAACTTATATGAATCTTAAAGTTATTTTAAAAGGAATTCAAGATAAAAGAGATATATGCCTCATGCCTTAAATATGTGGTGTAAACAAAAATGCGACACTAACGTAAATAGAAATATTTGTGGTATAAACAAACGTTTATGATATTTGGTTTTGTTCAACAGAAACTTGATATGCCTGGAATCCAAATCCAATAATGATTCACAAGGATTTAAATATGAATAAAGTATGGGAAATTAAATCTCGGACTGCTTTGATCCCACTGGGTTTCTAGTTTCGCGAATCTCACCTGGGGAACACGGGGTCCAGCACCTTGGGGAAGACCAGTTCTCTGTCGATGGCGTACAGTGTCCAGAAGGTCACGCCCACGTTGATGGCCACCGGGAAGGCCAAAGTGGCCATCAGCCAGTCCTTGAACCTGCGCACCGCCGGCGGTTTCTTGGGGGTCAGCTCATTGGTGCCCACAAAATCGTTGACCAGCGATACGATATAGTACAGTGCCTGAATTATCTGTAAGTGGAAGAGCATTTGACGTGTGTGAGATAATGTGGCTGGATTTTGAAGGGGTTGCTTAAGTGGAGTGGAAGGAATTACAGCTGGCGAAAAAAAGTTTCACAAAGCATTTCCTGCTAAATTTTAAGTGACAATAAGAGTTTATAAAAAAGATTTCGTGTTTCGTAGGTTTTCGTTTTATAAATGGAATGGAATAACGCAAATATTAATATTTATTTAATTTAAGTTGTATAAACATAAATTTTCCCTATTAGATCATTAAAATGGTTACCTAAAGGTAAAACCAGTTGTATAAAAACACAACTTAGGGGATGTTTTAATGAAGCCATAGGAATTATCCCCTTGATCACCTAAAATTCTAACTACTTTCTGGATGCATTTTTTCTGTGTAGCTTTATAGATGCGTGTAAACCAGTTAGGCAATCCAACCGTGCCAATAAACGAACCGAGTGAACTTTAAACCGCGCGTGTATCTAATGGGAGATGTAGACAGAGTAGATAGATTACCGCATCCAGGAACGTTAGGTATTTGAATTTGCCCCCCCAGGGATGGTGGATTCGCATCTCTGGCTCGCTGGTGGGGAACTCGACGTATCTGTAGTCGTAATAGATGCCATAGGTGAACTGCACGGCCGCCGTCAGGTGGAGCAGGGTCCTCAGAGCCCCATAGACGCCCTGGTACAGGGAGTTTCCTCGCACCGATGCCATTTTCCTGCTGCAGCTGCCCTGCTTCTCGGTTCTCTTCGCTCACGATTGATTTTTCACGGCACCAAAACACAAACAAACCGGTCTGGTCCGTCGCGACTCTCTGGAAACAATACTGCTTGCAGCGACCAGCCACCCCCAAAAAGGGGCCAGCGGCGGAACAGTGTGCCCGAGCCGGAGCAGGGCCAAAATACCAGGTGTGCAGATACTTTTATCTTTCCCTGGATTCAAGGGGTATGCTAGACTCGATGGAATCTAAGTAACAGTTTATATTTTTATGAAATTTTGCACATTTAGGATTTAAAAAGATTTTTCATTTAATTTTTAAAGAAACACATTTTAAGAATTTTTAAACCCATACAGAATCTATGCAACCGTTACAATAAATCTTTAAAATATTTATTTTTTGAATATGTTTTGAAATATCCTTATCGTTATTTACCCTATAATCTGATGCCTCTAGTCATGTTCTATCAGCATAAATTTTCCAACGTCCGTGGTATCTTTATGGACTACAAGCGATTAGATTTGTCTATATGCAATCGAACTACAAAATCTGGGTGATATAAATCCCTTAACGGATCGGATCGTTTATCCGGTGTTCGAGTTTCCCAGGTCAATTTATAGGCTTACCGCACAAATGAAAGTTAGGAACTTGAATTTTCCGGCGAAGGGCACCGTGTTGGGCATATCGAGTGTGTGGAAAATGTAGACGCCATAGTTGAACTGCAACACGGCCGTCAAATGGAGGAGCAACTGCACCGCCTTGTTGAAGCCGGGCGAGGTGGAACCTTTGCTCTTCGATTTTGTCTTGGGCTTGGCCATGTTGAACCTCCTGGTGCCAGATATGTACTGATTATAGTATAGCCAGAGTCCAGTCACCAGCGGCAATTGCACATGAATGTACGATTGTGTACAGTGATCGCCCACTAAATGTATCGCCCACATTTGTGTATTTAGTTCTTATCAAGTAAGTAATTAATATTATTATAGAAGTACTTTACAGTTAATCAGATTTATTTATTTAAATTTAATTTTTCTAGTTAATTAAATTTGAGTGCCCACTGTATGTATTTTTGCCTTCGCTTTGAAACTGATAAGGTGCGCTTATCTGCCGCACTCTCAATCGCCGTGGTACAAAGTATTTCCACTCGAGAATGAATTGGCAGAAGCTAAAATAAAATCTAAAAACGGGCGCTTAATCCGCATCGGAACCAAGTCCTCCCCCCACTATAAGATATATCCTATAACAAACTAGGGGGAGGCACGCGCCTTTTCAAGAGCGTTCTATGAATAGATGTGGACACACATAAGCCATATTTATGAGCCGAGACAAAGGCTTCTGGAAATATGTTCGCAGCTAATGGCAACTATCGATTCCGATTCGTATAGCCCTCCTCCACCGCCCCAAGCCACCCCCTTTGAAGGTCAAGGAGCAAGGCCATCGGGGGAAAAAAGGCGACGTCATTAAAGCCCCGCTAACTGAAATATCTGGTATCATTATCAGGTGCTCTTTTGTTTCGTTGTGCTTTCGTTACACGCTATTTATCGATTGTGCGTTGGTAATTGATTTGCGGTTATGTAATATCCAAAAATAATCCCATGGTATCCGTCTCCAGTATAAAACTATCTGTCATTAGTATTCGTGAATGGATAAATATTTTACTAAATTGGAATTTCTATATACGTCAGCAAATTTAATGATGTTTTAGGAAATAGTTGTTCCTATAAAGTAACAATTATTGTTATTATCCATTAGATGGTCTCCTCGTCGGTTTCCGGGCCGCAGAGCTCCAAATTGATTTCCGTTAGCTCCTGTTCATCCACCACACTGCTGGCGTCCAGATCACCCGTCTCCATGCGCGGGGCATCCAGGATTTCCTTCTGATCCTGCGACTCCTTGGCGGCCACCTCAATAGCTGCTCCCTGCTCGAACATGGGATTGTCGAAGGCCCGTCGCTCCCTCACCTCGCCACTTTCGGGATCGTAGGCCATGATGCCCAGGCGATCCACACCGGAGGCACCTCCTTCACTGGAACCACCAATATTACCTGCTCCTCCGTTGTCAAAGCGACTGAAGAGCGGATTGCGACGCAATCTCACACCCAAGTGGTGCCACCTCCAGCGCCGCGGATCGTGGATCCACTGGGGAATGCGATTCAGGTAGGGATTCTCGGGCATAAAGTGGGCCAAAATGACCATGGAAACCACGCCCACCAGGGCCATGCAGAACAGGATGAGAACAATCGAGGAGAAGCTCACATTTGGGTTGTAGGGACGACCGGAGACCTTCAACGTAGTGCCCGTTCTATTCCAGTAATCCAGCTGCTGTTGCAGGAACTCCATGCTCCGTTCACTGTAACCATGACGATCAGTCAGCACCGCCTGCAGGTGGTTACCAAACTGCTGGGAGCCCACAAACTCCACATGGAACTCTATCTGATCCTTCAGATTCTCCTGGCTAATAAGGCTGTTGATCTTGGTCACAATCTCCTTTTTACCGCCCTCAGTGCAAAGATTGATGGGTGTGGACAGGGTGGCCCCGCAGATGAGACAACACGATCCCAGGGGTCGAACTGGCGACAGGCAGTGGGGCGTTTCGCACTGCTCCTGGACATTGTGGCAAACCGGTTCCACCAGTCGTTCGAAGTCCTTGTGGCAGCCACACAACTCTCCTCGATAGTACTCCACCTGCACGTCCTCGGCATTGTGAAAGAGAAATTGCCCCAAGTCCCTCGCGATGAGTTGCTCCAAGTAGGATTTGGAGATGGAGGAGCCGGCCAGGATGAGTTGTCCCATCCGCAGGTGCTGGACGTTCTCGAGGTCAAAGGCCAGAGGGCCGTGACCCTTGATTATAACCTGCTCGTCATCGCAGGGAATCCTTTCAAGATCTGGCAGGGAAATGTCCTTCTTGGCCTTGTCCGTCCAGGTGGTAGGGTCGAACCATTTACTCGATTTGGGTGCCTTTAAATAGGCCTTCTTTTCCTCACTCTCACACTCCGAATTCTTCGGGGAACCAAAGCTAATCGTCGACTCCTCGGCCAGAAGAATCGCCCCCTCTCTCGGAAAAACCAAACCATCAATGGATATCTCCTCGGGCAGGGGCAACAAGGCTGGATAATATTCCGGAAAGACTACCAAATCCTGGGCACATGGCAAGTGGTCATCCAACCAGGTGGAGGGATGGTTAAATTCCAGTCCTCCGGCGTACCACTTGGTGGCCATTGCCACTGGGAGGCAGATAATCAGCCACTGCAACCACATGATGCTGCAACCAACAGAGTGAATTTCAAACTAAAATCGTAATTTGTCAGAGGCAAATTCACTCGCTTTGGGGGGCGTTTTGTTTTTCACTACCCCTTCTTCTTCCTTCCATCTGCAAATCCCCAAAACAAAATTCTGGATAACAATCAAAGTTGAGACCTTTCAACCAGAGCAAATAAACCAGGCAAATGGGACAGCAGATGTAAACAAATTCACGAGCAGACGGGAATAATAAATACCCTTTAAGAAAAATGGTTATTATTCACTATTAATCAAAATATCAAAGGGGTTCGTGAGAACCTACGACTCTTGGGAATTTTTCGAACTTCCACAAATTATGTCACTGCATCACTACTTCCAGATGCCATAAAAAGTGATATAAAAATATATATTTATAATGCTTTTACTGCTTAAATGACATTTTAAAGTAAGACCTTTCAAAATAATGTTTTTAAGACTTTTTAAGAACAGTAAAAACGTGTCGGCTATCAAAACTCAAGGATCGTACGCTCCATAAATCTTGCTTTAAAAATATTTCACCAATAAATCGTTCGAAATCGAACAGATTGAACGGTGTCCAGACAACAAACATATGTAGTATCCATACTATATAGATATACTATACAGATTTGGCCTAGAACATAGCCATATTATTTCTCTTTTGCTTCAACAATGCAATTGTTTGTCGGAAAATAGTTGAAGTTTATTTTTTATTTTGATAGCGCATATATAAACAATTTTCCGCCCATCCGACTGCTTGACGGAAGCCATTGGAATGCCCAGAAGAAAGGCGGAGAACCAATCGGCAACAAAAATAATTGAACCGGATGGTAATGGCATCGAAAAATACTCGTATCGTACTTGTACTCGTATCGCGGGACTACATAAAAGAGCAGTTCGCCAAGCGAAGAAAGGCGGGCGAGTGGAGATCCGTAGATATAAAGCACTTTATGCTCACCAGATCAAAGTACTTGGGGCGGGGCAGGCGGCATTAATCAAGGGCACGCAAGGTCGTGCAACAATAAACTAAAAACATTCACTGGAAAATCCGCACGGAAATGGAAACTTTAAAGCACATGAATTATGGTCAATTCGTATGGTGTGGGAATAAATGGAACAAAAGTTGTCAATTATAAAACAATCTTTAAGTAAAAAGTACAAAAAATAAGTAAGGTACAACATATTTTATAAAAATTGTAAAATATATTAAAAACAATTTTAAATGTTCTTGAAATGCTTTTTTTAAAAGTATCTTCTTTTTAGGTCATGAATGGTCTTTAAATTCTTATTTATTGGGTTTTTTATGGCGATTACAACTGCTGGTATTTTCTTTGTGATCTCGACATTTTAATGACTTTTTAAAATATAGGTCAGTTTTAACACGGAAAATGCGTTAACATAATTTGTAATAAATTGTTCACCAATAAATTAAGTATATTTTAACAAAGAAATTTCCTTATTGTAATGTTAGGTAATACATTTCTTTTAATTTCCTTTCATACGTAGGGAAGATACTATCTTCAAGATACATACATTCCAAACATTTAAGGGGTCCTTAATTTAATTTCTTGAAATTTTCCTTTCAGTCAAGTAGAAACTTTTCCAGAGCATGGGCCAAACCTCAAGACATATTTATTTACCTATCCAAAAATGAAATTCGCCTGTCGACGATGACAACCACTTTGAGATATTTGCTTGTGTTTTCCTTTGTTGCCAAGTAGCTGCGAGAAAAATGCAATATTCCATCGATTTTCTAAGCTATTTTAACGATATGTAAATGAGGCATCAAGCATCCAGCATCAGAAAGCACCGAATACCAAATCGAAGCCAACTGCCGCGTATGGCACATTTACATTGGCGCCCATCAGATAATCTGGCATTCGTCAGTCCCATAAATTCTGTGGTCCAAACGAAACTGAAAATCTGGAAAAGCGCGAACCGCTGAGCAAATAAATACTTGGGGCGAAAGAAAAGCCGAAAACGATTGCAATTTTTGCATGCAAAGTATGTGCAACAGCAGTTCGAACGAGGAAATTCAGATACTCCTCCGTATTCCATATTCCACAGTTGTTGACCCCGCCTGGCCGATAAAAAAAAGGCATGGGAGTGTGGGAAAAACACCGGAGAGGGGGCGATCCCCAACGAGCAGACAAACAAATAAACAAACATATGGCAGACATAAATGCGAACGGCGGCCAACGCAGGCATAATAATAAGAATAATTTTTCCTTTCGCTGATTTTCTCCCTGCCCCCCAACACTTGAAACAACCGAAGCTGGCCGCATTTCCGTCTCGTTTCTTTTAATTTCCCATAATTCATCGCATATCTCTAGGTGATGCTTTCAATGGGCCTAGGCCATAAATCTACTCACCAGCGACCAGTAGGACAGGAATTTGATTTTCTGCGGCAGCGACTCCGGCACCAGGCGGCGATTGAGGCTCGTCTTCAGCTTGTAGCTCCGCTGGATCTCGAAGGAGCTGTAGTAGAGCCCGTAGGCAAATTGGCCCAGGGCGCACAGGTGTATGATTGTCACGAAGACGCGGGACTTGTAGAGCTCAACTTTGGTCATCCTGGAGGTTTTTTCTACAGATCCTTTACGAGTAAAACCAAGGGGAACTTCAAGTTACACAGCGCAAATTATTACTATTTTTTTTCAAGATATTTTAATACTATTGCCTAAAATAGTATTTCTCAGAACTTGGCATTCAATTTTAAAAATTTTATTGAAAAATATATGGTATTGGGTATTTTAAAAAGGACTTTCAAAATTTGTAGGTTGTTCATTAAGAATTCTTTTGAACTTTTTGAAAAAGGACAATTCAATTTTGTACATTTTTAAAAATGAATTACTTTGTCTCGCCTTACAAATAATTACATTTACTAAATTAAATACATTTTTAATAACTTTCAGAATTTTTTAAATTATTTTTTCTCTGTACTTTGCGGTAGCTTTGTAAGTTCTGTAATAGGGGCATGAAAAAACGTCGCCAAGGTGTTTTGGGCCCTCGAGTCAAGACACCTCGCGTTCGTCAACCCAAAGCGCGCACAAATTTAAATCAATATTTGCGTCACCGACATAAATATTTAAGCTTCCCCAAAAACTAAGGCAGGAATCGCTCGAAAAAATCTAGAACACCGCGACTGCACTCAGATGGAGAAGTTCCCCGCGGTTCTTGTTTATAAATCGGTTATGTTCATAATTTAATGGTTTTTATGGCCCTTAAAAACAATTGTTGATTGTTTCGCATTTGATTTCGACACTCTCTAAACAAATCACCAGTTCGCTGGCACACGCACGCTAAGTATTTTCCCTGATTTCCTTTTGGCTTTCCTCGGGGGAACGGCTGCGATTTTCCCTTGACCGCGGGCGCACAACTGAGCGTATGGAAAACTGGAGTCGCACTGTTTGTTGCGTTGCCCATACGCCGTGTTGCCTCCTGCCTTTTGTGCTCGTTTTCATTTCATTGTACTTGTGCTGTTGCTTCTGTTTCTGCCTCGGTTCCTCGGTTTTTGTGGTGTCGTTCCTCCTCCGTTTGCTCGCTTCAGGTGCGTGCTGCGCATGTCCGGATCGCGGACCACGGACTCCGGTCGGGATTCCCGGATTGTGGGCTCCACGTTTATGCGTTAATGATGGCCAATCACCTGAATGAATCGCCCCACCTCCACCTCCCCCCACACTGCAGCCCATTGAGATGTATGCTGTTTAGTGAGTAACCAGATTAGTCGAGCAAATGCAGTCATAAGAAGATAACTTTGATGAGCGATAAGTTTTATTTTTAGGTAGTTAACCCGGCATTGCGTCAAAGAAATAGATAAGAAAGTTTACAAATAAATAGAAAAAAATAATATTCAAATACAGATAGTAGTTAGTAGCTCTTGCTTATATCGATTATAAATCTGCAGCGAAAAGTTCCCACTCGATTTTCGGAATTACTAAAGGTATTCATTTTGGTTTCCTGAGCTCTTGTATTTTAATGTGAAACAACTTTTATTTTGTAGGATGACCAAAACAGACATTTTTAATGCCTATTTCACGGATTATGCTTTAAATTCCCATGATTAATAATAAATTAACAAATAAAGAAATAAGTCCCATGAATAGTGACCAAATCGGGCTACCGGGCTACAAATACCATTTGAATATGAATATGTGAAACAACTTTTATTTTGTAGGATGACCAAACATTCTTAAATAGCTATTTAACGGATTATAGTTTAAATTCCCATAATTAATAATAAATTAACAAATAAAAAAGTAAGACCCATGAATAGTGACCAAATCGGTCTACAAATACCATTTGAATCTGATTTTCAAAAATAGATTTTTCCGCCCTGCAACTGCGAGGAGGCAAAAGCTCGCTTCCGCAAGCTGGCCACTCTCTTTCCAGGCTGCTGGTGTTTTTCTTTCAAATTTAAAGTCATGTCGTAACCCGAAACCAACTCAGGAACCGTACAGCCCGACACCCAAATTCCCAGTGCAGGCACTTCCGGCGGAAACCTTCAGCTTCGCAGATCAGCACCCAGACATGTCGACCGCTTCGCGGATTACCTTGGGCATGGCGGTCTCTGTTTCCACGGCGATCATAGGTTATGTGCACTATAAACAATCGGCAGACCGGTAAGTGGGCTCTATATTGTCAGGGGAATCTATAATCTATAATCCTCCTTTCAGCCTGCGGCTCCACGATGGTGTTTTGAGGGATGTAGAGCAGCAGCAGCGGCGGAAGCACGAGAATACCTACACGCTGCAGCAGCAAATAGACATGACCAAGCAGCTGAGGGCCAGGGAGGCTTCCAGCAGCTCCTCCGACACGCCAGTACCTCCATCGAACTCCGCCTCGCAGAGGAATCTTCAAGCGGGAACGGAGGCCACGCCGAATGTCCAGGAACCCGAACTGCAGCAGCATCCGGAGCAACCAGGAGCCGAGGGAACCGGGGATGCAGAGGCATCACAGGCTGAAGCAGCCACTCAGGATGCACCCTCCATCAGACGTGGCTTGATCACCGAAATGCCCTCCTTTGTGCACTAAATACATACTTTAAGAACAACTCGGGTTAAATGAAGGCTTTTGTTGTTAATTTGTTGTTTTGGAGGCCAGATAGGCTAGATTTTAAACTTAAATACCTTTGTAGATCACTGCCTTTAATGAGAATATAAGAAGTAATTTATTAAAAAACCTAAATATGGGATAATAAACAAAGTATACATTAATAAAATAATAAATAGAGCAATTAAAGTTACTTTTTAGGCCCACTTCCACCGATTATCTCCAGCTTCCTCTCATTTTCTGTATACATATAGTATTACTCAATTTTATTATTACGAATGTGTGTATAGTAAATTACAATTCTAATGGGCGTTCGGTAAAGTATTTCGCGGGGGGTTTGTACATAGGTGGTGGTGGACCACCCCATCGTCCTCTCCTTCCTTTCCCTTCTGCTCTCCGATCTCCTCACTCACCTCGACTCGAAAGTGTTGTAAAAAAATGTGGAAAACTAACGCGGAGAATAAAATACACGATACTTGGCGTTGTTGCTTGTCCGTTGTCCCTTCTCTCTCAATTGCCAGCGTATTGAAAAAATGTCCAGAATAATTAATACCGTCCACCGCCGCCGCCGCCACCTCCACCGCCGCCTTTGCGTCGATCGCGATCGTTGCCGCGATCATTGCCGCCGCGCATATTGTCCCGCTCGTTGTTCAGATAGTTTCCGCCGCCCACGCCGTCGCCCCTTCCGCCGCCCCGCCGTCCCGGGGAGCGGGACCTGCTGCGGGAGCCGCGGCGCCGGCTGCCGGGCGAGCGGGAGCGGGAGCGGGCGCGACGGCGGCGCGAGTAGAGGTACCGCCGCAGCTCGCGCGAGATGGGCTTCAGGTGCATGAAGTTGCAGAAGCCGGAGCGGGTGCACTCGCCCATCTCGTACTGCCGGCAGCAGGCCTCGCGGAAGTCGGTGACCGGCGAGAGCTCCGAGTAGACCGGGCGGCCGCCGAACCAGCGGTTGTTCAGGTCGTTCGCCGCCTTCTCCGCGTCCGCCTCGTTGCGGAACTTGATGTAGACGTTGCCGACCAGGTGGTCGCCCAGGTTGTCGCACACGTTCATCTCCTCGATCTCGCCGTACTTGTCCTCGCACTCGACGAACACGTCCTCGAAGAAGTTGTCGTAGTGCTCCTGCATCTCCTCGTCGGACACGTTGGCCACCAGGTGCGATCCGTCCGCGGACTTGGCCGAGTTCTGCGGGTTCACGTACAGATTCTGCAGCAGCACCGTCTGCGAGAAGGTGGGCTTGTTGTGGATGCGCGAGCAGCGGTCGCCGTGGCGGCAGGCGCCGATCTTGAAGTAGAACGAGCAGTTCACCCTGTGGAGAGGAGTTTTATTACTTAGCAATCCACCCCGGGAAAAAGTATATTTGTGCCATGCTTACTTGTCCTTTTCCGTGCCAAAAATGGATGCCAAGTACTCGGCCATGTCGGCGGCTCTGCTGTGTCGTTGCGGGGGCCAAAGTGTGTGGATTCGCTGCCCGCTTGCCTCTGCGACGCGTTCAAACTGCGATTTTTAGCGCCGCCTGTGTGTTTTCAGTTATTTTCTATTATTTTCGGATGCCGCACGTAAAAAGCAGCGTCTGGTCGGATTTGGTGGCGTTGCCAGGTGAAAAATATATTCGCGATAAAAATAAATATTCATGTCGTGACTTTCTAGTTCTTATTTCAGCCGCAGTGGCGCTATAAAATGTAGTGATTTGTAACAGAAATGTTAAGATGTAAGGTTAACAGTTTGTATCTTAACATTTCTGTTAAATTGAGAGACTGATTTGGGTGGCGTTGCCAGCAGTGGCTTTAAATGACAACCCTGGCCATTTGCTTCTAGAAAAGTCGGCATTTTTTGCATTTTCACCGCACAGCGTGCTTCAAAAGATCGCAGCAATAAACCGGGCAAACAGGACATCTAGCCAGCGCCAACCGCTCCGCCAGCAGAAATGGACAAGGTGCGCGCGGGGGTTGGTAGACCAGGAGGCGTGGCGAACTAATGCGATTCCTTCTCTTCTGCAGGTGAACGAACTCAAGGAGAGGGGCAACCAGGCGCTAAACGCCGAGAAGTTCGACGAGGCGGTGGCGGCGTACACAGAGGCCATCGCGCTGGACGGCCAGAACCATGTGCTCTACAGCAACCGCTCGGCGGCGTTCGCCAAGGCGGGCAAGTTCCAGGAGGCGCTGGAGGACGCGGAGAAGACCGTGCAGCTGAATCCCACCTGGCCGAAGGGCTACTCCCGCAAAGGAGCGGCCGCGGCGGGCCTGCACGACTACATGAAGGCCTTCGAGGCGTACAACGAGGGTAATGATTAGTCACCCGACCTAACCTCACTTTGGCTAACCCCTTAACCCCCTCAGGTCTCAAGTACGATCCCACCAACGCCATACTGCTGCAGGGGCGCCAGGACATCACCGCCTCGGCCCTGAACTACATGCAGACCCACGGCGACCTGCCCATGGACATAGATCCCCAGCAGCAGCCGCGCAGCCGGCGGGCTCCGTCGCCGCCGCCAGCGAAACCAGCTGAGCCCCCGAAGCCCGCCGAGCCTCGCGTGGAGGATATGAGCGAGGAGGAGCGCAAGAAGCACTTCGCCAAGAAGGAGAAGGAACTCGGCAACGCGGCCTACAAGAAGAAGGAGTTCGAGACGGCCCTCAAGCACTACAACGCGGCCATCGAGCACGATCCCACGGACATCACGTTCTACAACAACATCGCCGCCGTGCACTTCGAGCGCAAGGAGTTCGAGGAGTGCATCCGGCAGTGCGAGAAGGGCATCGAGGTGGGCCGCGAGAGCCGCGCCGACTTCAAGCTGATAGCCAAGTCCTTCGCCCGCATCGGCAACACCTACCGCAAGCTGGAGAACTTCAAGCAGGCGAAGGTCTACTACGAGAAGGCCATGTCCGAGCACCGCACGCCCGAGATCAAGACCTCGCTGAGCGAGGTGGAGGCCAAGATCAAGGAGCAGGAGCGCACGGCCTACATCAACCCGGAGAAGGCCGAGGAGGAGAAGGAGCAGGGCAATCACTTCTTCAAGAAGGGCGACTACAGCAGCGCCGTGAAGCACTACACGGAGGCCATCAAGCGCAACCCCGACGATCCGAAGCTGTACAGCAACCGCGCCGCCTGCTACACCAAGCTGGCCGCCTTCGATCTCGGCCTGAAGGACTGCGACACCTGCATCAAGCTGGACGAGAAGTTCATCAAGGGCTACATCCGCAAGGGCAAGATCCTGCAGGGCATGCAGCAGCAGTCGAAGGCCCAGGCCGCCTACCAGAAGGCCCTCGAGCTGGACCCCAACAACGCGGAGGCCGTCGAGGGCTACCGCCAGTGCTCGATGAACTTCCAGCGCAATCCGCAGGAGGTGCTCAAGAACGCCATGTCCGATCCGGAGATCCAGCAGATCCTCAAGGACCCGGCCATGCGAATGATTCTCGAGCAGATGCAGAACGACCCGAATGCGGTGAAAGAGTGAGTACTTGCTATATTTGGACGGCTTTTTGGGGGTCAAGGTCTAGAACTTTCGGTTTCTATGGCCAACTGGCCATTTGAATTCAATTAGCATTTATTACTAACTTTGGGCCTTTGATAATTACATAAGAGTTTTTGTTGATACAGTTATATCTATAAAAGTGGGAGGTGTATTGAAAGTTTCTTTAAATATTCAACTTATTTTTACCAAGTAAAAAGCCATAAAAACATATAAGGGGTGTAGTCAAATCTTTAAAATTTTGGGGGCTTGGGTGAAAAGATTAGAATATTGTTATATTTATAGACCTCAAAGGAAAGATTGTCAGAAAATAACTTCTTATCACTGTAAGAATTATATAAAGTCTCAGCAATTTGTTATTAAGTGGTTTAAGCAGAAACCTATTGTGTGCCTTTTAATATTTCGAATTCCCCCCTGTTTAAACTCTCTTCTAATTAACAACCTTTATTTTGCAGACACTTGCAGAATCCAGCCATCGCCGATAAGATAATGAAACTGCTGGAATCGGGCATCATTCAGATACACTAGGCACTCCACCCCCAAATTCACAGCAACACACACCCTCACACACTCACCCACTCACATACAAACATACAAACCATATTGATAAACATTCAGGAGACAAAACCCCAATAATACGCATTATACAAAATCTATGGCACATCTAAGCTGGTTAACTAATGTATCGTTTTTGATGAAACGGGCCACAATTAATGCTAAACGTAAATACCTTAGAAATCGCAACGCCTAAACGCAGAACGACGATAACTACCACTAACTAAAGAAACTAAAACTAAAACAAGAACGAGAAAACAAAATCATTGATACACGTCTGCCTAGTTGATTTACGCAGATGGATGGAGTAGGCTCCAAACGTCAAGGTCCTTATTTTCTTACTACAATAAATATGCTGTAGCTTAGCTCTAAAATAAGTTTTTGAATGTAAAATAAATGAGTCAAAGAATGGTAAGCGATGACTTTGAATCTGGCGCCAAAGTGTTGGAAAGTGTAGGTACAGCCGGTCTTGATCTTACGTTTTTTTCAGGACTGCCAATTGATTTTATTTAGTTTTAATTATTTATTTATAACACAGACTAGGATAAAGCTTATTTATAAGTTCTTTACATTTTTATATTCGAAATTATGCTCTAAAAAGGTTCGTTTAGTAATTTAGTTGTAGTTACAGTATAATTAATAATTATTTATTAACGTAGTTGGCAGCCCTGCTTCTTACGTAGTTTCGCCTTGCCCAACACAGGAAACCGCCAGTGTTGGCAGGCGCCTGCGGACAGCTCACTCGCAGCAAGTGGCATGGCAACAACGGCGCTGTCCAACACCGCACGATTTCCCGAACAAAATGGTGTGCTGATATATTGTGATTAAACCCCGATTTCTGTCGTCCCCAAAGCGCCGTTCGAGAATGTTTTGAGCCAGCTGCAGTTGAGAGCACCCCCGCCAACGAGAAGAGTCGAAAAGTGCATAGAAAGCACCGAAATCCGAACATTAAGCCAACCATTTTTTTTAACCAGTGTCGTAGTGTCCATCGTGTGCGTTGGTGTTGGTGCGTGTGTGCGTGCGTGTGCGTCGCCCGGTGTGTTTGTGTGAGTGTTCCGTCGGAATCGCGAAATCGAGAATATAGAAAGATGTGCTCCATTCGCTGGTGGTGGTGAGCTATAGCAGAGGCTATATAGCGAAACCGACGGGCGAGTAGTCCCCGCAACCCAAAAATCCAGATCAAATCCAAATCCCAGCCTCCGCAGCACAAGAATTTCGACCCATTGAAAAGAGCCCCACAACAAGAGCCACAAAAAGTAAGTATTTGCGTTTCGGGGGCGCTTGGCAACAGGCCCGAGTGCGTTGGAGCGGGAGGGCGCTAGCGGGGCGGCCGGGGGCGAGAGCGAGAGGGCCGTAGAGAGAGCCGGGACGCCAGCGATTACATGCCTCGTTTTTACACACATGTAGTTGTTGTTTTTGGTCGTCGGTAGCAATATGTGGCCAATATTTATTAATGGATGGGATTGGGGAAGATTGGGGAAGCTTGGGGAGGGAACAACGCTCCTTGCCAAGACATCGATTTCTCTAGGGATTGAACTCCTTTTGCAGCAGATCAACAGTCATTATATGCCATGATATCATATTAGGATTACAGAAAAGGGACAATAAGAGTTCTGTTTATGTGGAACGTTTTTTATGAAGATAAAAATATTTATATTTAGGAAATCTATTGCATTATTAGTTTGGAAAACAACAAGTCAGTATCTCTAAAAAACCGAATACCTTTCAGTAATTAGCTTTTTATAAGCGATACCATAATATCTTTTTCAGGGTGTTCCATCCATAATACATCAATGCTCAAATCCAGATTTCTGGGACACCCCCAAATAGAATTAGAGTATATAGACAATAAGCGTTTACTTTATGTAGAATCTCTAATGGAACACCTATATTAACTTGGAAACATCAATTTCAAAGTTGATATAAAAAAAAAATCGAACAAGTTTCAGTAATTTGTATTATTAGCTTTTGTTTGGGGTCTTATTTATCTTATTTATTTTAGGAATCAGAGAAACTAATCAGGGCTAAAATGGTTATTTTCTAAATTATATTAGCTGGTATCCCTAGCTATTTAGCTGTTATTACTTTATCAGCTAAAGCTCAGTATGTACTTCTCAGTAGAAGTTTACAGTTTTGTAGAGGGGCTTAATTTATAGCTTAAAACAACATTACCCCACTTCTATCCTAGTTCTACAACTACAACTACTTTTGTTCTGTTTTTCAGTGCAACCCTCCCCGCTGCACTACTCGACGATGCGGCCCCAGGCGCCCGGATCGCTGGTCGATCCCAACGAGGACGAGCTGCGCATGGCGCCGTGGTACTGGGGCCGGATATCGCGGGAGGAGGCCAAGGGCATCCTGCACGGAAAGCCCGACGGCAGCTTCCTGGTGCGCGACGCCCTCTCCAAGAAGGGCGAGTACACGCTGACCCTGATGAAGGACGGCAGCGAGAAGCTGATCAAGATCTGCCACATGGACCGCAAGTACGGGTTCATCGAGAAGAACCTCTTCAACTCGGTGGTGGAGATGGTCAACTACTACAAGGAGAACTCGCTGAGCATGTACAACAAGACGCTGGACATCACGCTGAGCAATCCGATAGTGCGCACCTGCGAGGACGAGGACTCCCAGCCGCACGGCGACCTCTGTCTGCTGAGCAACGACTTCATCCGCACCTGCCAGCTGCTGCAGAACCTCGAGCAGAATCTGGAGCAGAAGCGGAACTCCTTCAACGCGATCCGGGAGGAGCTGCAGGAGAAGAAGCTGCACCAGAACGTCTTTGGCAACGCGGAGAAGATATTCCGCAACCAAATCAAGCTGAATGAGTCGTTCATGAAGGCCCCCGCGGATGGTGGAGCGTCAGCAGAGGCGGGAGGACCCGCTGACGGAGCCGCAAACGCCGAGTTGGCCAATGCCAATGCCCGCCGGAGTCTGCAGGCGAGCAAGCAGACGCTCCTCGACCTGCTCGAGGCGCTGCAGGCCAAGGGACAGGTGCTCAACCAGTACATGGAGGGCAAGAAGAAGGAGGAGCTGCTGCTCGAGCGACAGATCAACGCCCTCAAGCCGGAACTGCAGTTGCTGCAGTTGCGCAAGGACAAGTACATTGAGTGAGTTTGATTCTTAAGCTCAAGAAACTATTTGTAAGACAGTTATTAGATTAGTAGTATGATACAATTTATAGTCTTTCAGCAGACCGCGCAATTTGATTGCAGTTTGCAGTTTTCGATCGGAGAGCGAAGGAATTTTAATGCCTCTCAACGGTTCTGGTTCATTTTACACGCGGCTCAGTTGGCCGATCACTCATTCTGTCCGAGTGTCGGCAGCTCGTCTGACCGATACGATACGATACCGATAATAATGGCATAACACTGTTAGCTTCCACTTCCGCTCCCTCTCCCGAATTCTCCACGCCAGCGAGGAGTCTACGTGCCTGGCCAGCCGACTTTCCCATTCATCGCCTGGCATGCGATTTTCCTGCCATACAGGCAAGCTTCTTAAATAAATCCCTTAGCAGAAATACAAGTTCATACTATCTAGATCTCTTCGAAGAGAGATCTTCAAGTTACGGAACTCCAACTGTAATAGAAAACTCTTGACTTGCCTATATAATATTCCCTGCTGGAGGGGATGATAAGCTGGAATATTTGGTTACCTCTTAGCGTTCTTATCTGCATGATTGGCGAGTCTTGGATTTCGGTCTCCAAACCGAGGCCTTTATCGAATCGATAATATGTGCAATATTTATTTATACGCAAAGTAGTATATATTTCGTTTTCAGCATTATCAAGGTCAGTTTGTATGGGGGTAACTTTTGAAATCAAGCTAAAACGTTGAAGAATTTCTTTGAAATATTCAGAGAACCCCTTATCGGGTGTTTTGTGGGTATGCCTTTAGGATTGTTTGCATATCAAGGTCGCAGAAAAGCAAAATTTACTTTTAAAAACAATTAAGTTTTAGATGAATTTACACAGATATTTTCAACATAAAATCTCTTAAATTTTACTCGACTTCTTGGGTGAAACCAACCGCATGGGGGATTTCTTTCCCTTAATTTGTTTCTGATTATCAAAACTTGTTCGTTTCTTTGGTCTCCCAGCAAAGCGCTTCCCACAATCTCCACAATTGTAGGGCGAAAAGCGAACAGCAAAGAGGTGACTTTCGCCTAGCAACAGGCCTTTACACTTGGCAGTACGTCATCGTTGGATGAGCTTACTCGGTTTCTATGGGTATTACCTAGAGTGTGGAAGCGTTGCTGAAGTGCCAAGTGGGGGGAGGAGGAGGGGGGAGGCCTCTAGATAAGGCTAGCGCCCTGCTGAAGATAGCTAAGCTTATCAGACAATTTATAAGTCTGCCGAGTGCTTAATAATTTTCTTCAAGCTTCTTCCATTCTTCCCTTCTATATACTAGAAACCCACTGTGTATATACTATAATTCTCGGCTGCTTTTCGCAAGGCCTTCGGCTTTGTGTCTCTAAACTTCTTGAGATTCGGCGAACACCGTCATGAGATAAAAGCCTCCTCCAGATTAGATAAAGGTTTTTAGTCTTTGGTTTTTGTGCGTTGTCCTATCTTGATTCCATCGCTCCACTGATCCATGATATCACCCTGCCTTGTGCTTATCGCGCCTCTGGAAATTAGTCACTTGGATAGCCTGATCGCCGGCCGATCGTGATGCGGAAACCCGCGGCGGTCTAGACTTTTGTAGACCGAACGGCGGCCGGAACACGGCAGTCGCATTTGGTTATCAAGAGCTGTTTCGTCGCCAGCTGAAATTGCACACGGTTAGATGAGGCATCGATATCAGGGCGAATCGATATCGCTACCACTCCAAGTTAATTGTTAGCCAAGGCAAAATCCAGCAAACCACAGAAATTACCTATTAAATCCATAGCATAATATAGTAAATTCAAAACTTCATTCGTATCCACAATTTATGTTAAAAACTTGATAAGATAAGGATGCATTGTCATCAGGGTAAAGCGAAATTAATTGCAGATTAGCCACGCCTTGAAAGTCACGTCCGCCACGCTTTAGGCAAAAAGTCTAAGTTGTGTTTCACAAACTGGTGAAACAACCTACAAGAAATTGTAATCTTGGAGTTATATTTTAAACCATTTTCCACAGCAGAGTTCCTGAGCTTACAAATGTGCTCCCTAAAACACCTTGTCCTGGACAAATTTCTTTTGTAATGACAAATATAATTATAATAAAAGCTCCTCTAATTTCCTGCAATCTCTTCTTGTTTTTTTAAAGGCGCCTGAAAGGCTTCAACCTCAAGGACGACGATCTGAAGACGATCTTCGAGATGGGTTTCGACAAGTGGCTGCAGCGCCACGAGACGGTCTCCAACCAGCCGCACAGCAACGAATCCCTCTGGCTGCTGAAGGATGCCAAGCGCAGGGATGCCGAGGAGCTGCTCAAGGGTTCGCCGGCGGGCACTTTCCTGATTCGGGCCAGGGATGCGGGTCACTACGCGCTGTCCATTGCCTGCAAGAACACCGTGCAGCACTGCATTGTCTACGAGACGAACAGCGGCTTCGGATTCGCCGCCCCCTACAACATTTATCCCTCACTGAAGAAGCTGGTGGAGCACTATGCCAACAATTCGCTGGAGGAGCACAACGACACGCTGACCACGACGTTGCGCTGGCCCGTCCTGTACTGGAAGCAGAATCCCCAGCAGATCCTGACGCAGCTGCAGGAGGAGATGGACCTGGAGTACGAGCCGGCGTCCACACTGCGGCCGCCGCCGTCGATGATGATGGGCAGCAGTGCTCCCATTCCGGCGAGTCGGTCAAGGGACCACCACGACCAGGTGGACGGAATAGAGATCGGAAGCCTCGAGACGGACACGGCTCCCGCCTCCATTTCCCCCTCGAACTTCAGCACCTCGCAGTAGGAACAAGCTGAACGAGCCCCTCAACCTCAGGCTAGCTATCTATCTCCTCTCTCTAAATCCATAAAGCCCTAACTCTCTCTATCTCTAGATATAAACGCGGTTGCGGTCCAAATAATAGCACTGCAGGCCTAAAATTGAAGTGTCAATCGATGATAAGTTCAAAGTTCAACCCTAAAATACCGTATAATCACTCAGCAAGAGCTGTATTCTGCCAAGAAAATATTTTAAACCTTGTCACAAAGTTATTTCCTTAACTCCAGCTACTTCAGTTTTGAGTTTCGATATTAAGTAACGAGAGTTACACTTGCAATGCTATTATTTCGGCCACCCTCGAGTATGTACATCGGCATATATAGGCTATATATCTGTGCCCGATTGTTTTTTTTTTGTGTGTGATGGAAGGCGCTGGCAGTCCAACTGTCCCCGCTTTTCCCCTTAGTATCAGAAGGCTCCAGAAGCAGAAACACAAACACAAACGAGTAAACACTTTCGGTGATCATATGTTTGATGGCTTGCTAGAAGCTTTTTGTCGAAGAACGAAATTTTCTTATTGAGAAAGTAATCTTATTAATAATACGCATATGATTAATTTTATACATATATATTTTTTGTAATACTGCATTTCGCGTGATAATTGATAAGTCATGCTATCTGTTGTTGTATCAACGCCCTCTCCCGTATCCCGTATCCCCTATAATTATTGTTATCACGCTGCGCGTTGTCTAAGAAGGGGCGCGGGGTAGGATCGGATAGGATCGGTGAAGAAATTTTCTGCATTTCTTCAGCACATTTTGTCGTGTTCATGTAAATATTCTAAAAGCGAAAAAACGAAACAAAGGAGCAGCCAGCCGCTTGCGAAACGTTTGCGAAATCAGGTTAAGGTTTTGATAACCGACCCCGCAACACCCCTTGCTCTAATATTTGTTGTTATATTATGATTGGTTTAAAGTAGTTTTAAGTGAAATCTACGTACGTTTACTCGATGTGATCAGTTGATTGTTGCTAAAATAGTACTTTTCCCTTAAATTTTTGTAATTTTTTTTTTCCAGTAACAAAGCCTTAATTTTCATAAGAACACAAACACACACACAACACATAAGCACTCAGTTGAAACAAAGAAAAATAAATGTACAAAGGAAAAAAATTAATTCACACAGAGATACAAACGAAACAAACAAAAAAAACAGCAACAAGAAAAAACAAAAACAAAGTGCAATCGAAAATGTAATAATTAAATTTTTAACATTTGTTAATTTATACAAGGAAAGAAACAGGAAAAAGACAAAAAGTTGCCCATATATAACAAACCGCTGCAATAGGCAAAAACGCTGATTAAGTTTCTTTTTACACAACTGATATTTAGCATATGAAATGCATGCTTGACCCACCCTGCTAGGCGTTTTTGAAAAATACTCCTTCCCAACGAAAATATAATTCAAAAAGTTGATTTATCATCGATTTCGTGCAATTCCTACCTTGTTGTAAAGCAAATATTTGTTCAACGTTAAAAACGCTCTTTGGGGAAGGGTTTTTTGTTATTGCTACCCTCGTTCTCTTGTGCCACCCTAATGTTCTAAGCCAGTTGAAAACTTTTCGAGCTTCCTGTTTGCACTCTCCCCAAAATTGGTATAAATCTAGCGATCCACTTACAAGCACACACAAACACAAACACTGGCGCGTCTTTCAGATATTTCTATATATATATACATATATGTAACCATTACTCTATACCCTACGTTTAATTGCTAATTTAACTTATTTAACTCGTAACATGTGTGTTTCATTTTGCTTAAATTCTATGAGATTTTGGCGGATCTCGTACGTTGTAGTATTTATAAGTTTTAAAGTTAGTTTGTAAAATGCGTTTCAAACAAAAACAAATCGAAAAAAAGAAAAGAAAAGAAAATATGAACACAAAAAACAAACAAGTAGCAGTGGAAGATTAAATGTATTCTAAATATGATTGATCGACATCAATTATGATTGATAACTTGATAGATGATGACTTTTTGCCATACCTAAATGTTAAATGGAAATATTTGTGAATTTTTTCTATCTTTGCTTCTCGTCTGCATTTTTGGCGCAGGCCGGAACAAGAGGAATTAAAAATGATAACAATGGAAGGCGACGAAACTAAATGTGAAACGAATTGCAAATTTGTTGTATTTTTTTATATGAATATATATATATATATATAGATATTTAACCATACATACTTATTAAATGTGTATGCTCTAGAATGCTATATGTTGTAGATCTTAAGCTATATGTTGTAGATCTTTAAGCGCTAACGGAAACAACAACAACCATTTTTTGTAGTAGTTTTTTAAAGAGACGGAAAAAAAGCGAAGAAAACATTGTATGTATTTGTATTTGTGTCTAAACAAAATGTTCGTAAATAACACAAACAAGAAGAAACCATAATAAAACCGAAAGAAAAATAACCTCGACGAGAAGTTTGCATATGAATCCCAGCTACCCAAAGTATTGGCCGATACTTCGGTTGTAATGGAGCTTTTTCACAGGTTTCCTGATTACTTAGCTCTGGGTTTCTGCTTTCAATGAACCCTCATCGACCGTAATCCGCTGAGCTGAGCGAAAAGCTATCGCAAAAAAAAGGAGAAAAGCGAACAAAAAGCGAATATCACGAGTCCGCCGATCGGTGGAAAACATGCACTCCATAAGTGACCGGCTTCCAATTTTGGGGGAATCGTAATAGAGTGACCTAGATATCAGGGTGTTGGCAAGTGATCTGATCCCTTTCTGGGGAGGTTTTTGAATTGCTGCTTAAACTTAAAAAATCGATTAAACTAAATAAATCCTAGTTAATTCAAATTTTGACTTAGAAAAGAGTAGTCTGGTAACTGCTACTTATAGAACTGACATATTTGTTTACTTAAATAATGATCGATGGTCATTGGATAAAGGTCAAGACTGTGCACGATATTTCGCTATCTTTTGCATGCAACAAGCGATTTGGTAGATAAACTGCCCTACCACAACAAAGCTATTAAAATATGGGTTTTGGGAAAGAACAAAGATTTTTTATTCAACAGTTGAAATTATACATTGAATTCCATTAAAATATAAACGAATCAGAATAAAGCTTCATTTCAAACATATCATATTTCTTCCATATAGATTGTTTTTCGTAAATAACGTAAAAAGTAAATTAAAAAATGTCAATTAATTCAAGTTATTTGTTTTGGGATACTGAAGTCGCGGCACATGTGGCCAGGACTGTGGATCGTGTGCGTTAATCCTGTTGTCCGAACCAACAAATGCAAATGGTTGACCACAAAACACCTTTAAATCTATGCCGAAAAGGTGTTTGGCAGGAAGGACTATTGCATTCAGTTCTACTATTCCAGTAAAATCGTGGGAATAATTTAGAGACCTTGAAGTTTTCTTTCTGTCCAAAAGTCGGTTCATGTCCCAAGATATCATATTGGCTGCCAATTCGACCCATTTTGAATTTAGAGTTAGTATGGGAAAATATGGATTCAGTATCCTGTTAAGCTTCCGTTCGTACTGGCTAGAAGCACTGAGTAAACTCAGATCGTAATTTTTATGCGGCATTTCTTTTCCTCTTATCAGCCATCCGAAATCATCTTCAAAACCATTGGGACTATAATCTTCTTGGGAAGATGCCTCTATTTTAATAGTATGACCGAATTTAGAGGCAATAGTGGCCACATACCACCAAGGAACATTGCCGCTGTAATGTGTTTTTATCCAATCCGATTTCGAATCGTTCTGCTCACTAAGGTTCATGATCCAGCGGAATTTGTTCATATTTTTATGTATGGCACTACGTTCTGACATTATTCCCCGATGATCCGACACAAAGCCGTCGGTCAGGATATGAAAATAGTCTTTTGTTCTGCCGCGATATGATAGGCAGTTGTGATCAAACATCGTACATCCCAGTTCTACAAAGGCCCAGTTTGTAAGTCCCAGCATCAGCGATGCGTGTGCCAAGGTGTCTCCCAAGGTGGTTCTTATGGGTGTTGCGGAGCTACAACTGAACACCCCAGAGGCTCTTAAAATTCTAAGATAGAGAGTGCTTTGAGGAAGACAGTGACTCCAGACTTCAAAGTTTTTATGATCTGTATCCTTCTCTGACTTGACACTGCCGTGGGTGAAATAGCCCAGAGGATCGCATCTCCAGAAATTAAAGACTTGCAGTCGAGTCTGCCTCTCTTGGTTGTCCATTTTGAGCAAATCCGGAAGTACGTAATCTCCGATTTTTATTTCTTCCTTGTTGTTGAAAGCGGCTGGACCAAAAATGTGTTTTCTGCCGTCTGGCGGTGCACTAGGATGGGGATAGACACCGAAACCATTGAATCGCGAGGTGGCCAGGATACTAGCCTTCAAGTGCATCTGTCTGAACTCCTTGTCTGAGCACATGAACAGCCTCATAAGGTCCAGGGCGGAAGAAACAGATTGTTGAGACACCTTTTGCACACCTGGATCAGACAGACGTCCCAGATAGGCATAGGCTTTTTTTGCAAAGTCGAAGTTCCCAGCTCGTGTGGCCGTAATGCCACCGCAAATCGTATAATCCATGTCACTAGGCATGCTGCTTCTGGTGGCATCTACCACAACTAGACATATGAGGGAGTGGCCGCCATGAATCTTAACCGTAGCTGCCTTTGGCATAAAGGAAGCAGTCATTTTAGGACCTTCTGTAGCCTCTTTCATGGCGTTCGAGTACTCAACATCCAGTGTGTAGCTGTGATTCCACCAAGAAGTCGTTGTGAGCCCCAGAATGTAGGCCATTAACCAGGAACCGCTCCAAGAACTGTAGACTGGTATAAAAATCGCACTTAAGGGTTCCACTGGTTGCAAAGACTTGTCCTTTAAACAGTAATTAGGATTTCGGATATCCATGAACTCGTCTATGGTGCGAAAGTAGAGTGTACTTGAGGACACTTCAGTTCCAATTTGGCCACGATCAGTAGTCTCAGGTGGAGGCATCCAAGAGGCGGAGCACTTTTCGGGCAACATATTCACAGCGATTTCGTGAGCCAGCGATGATGACTCTACCATCAGTTTCGGATCACTTATCATAATCTGTAGCAACAAAAGCCTCATTATTGGAGCTTCGTCTGTTGGATATAT